GCGAGCGAAGCGAGCCATAAGGAGTAACTGTTAAGAGAGATTTGGTTAATTGGAAGGGTTAGAACTATGACTAAAATAAAATGCGAGCGAAGCGAGCCATAAAGGACACCATCAATAGAGACCAGGTCAATCGGTTAGATTAGAATTGCGAAAAAAAACAAAAAGAAAAAGCGAGCGAAGCGAGCCATAATAAATGGAGACCTGGTCAATCGGTTAAGGAACTGTGACAAATGTGCTAATAAGTGTGCTAGAAAATGTATCATTTTTCACGGTTTTTAAGTAAAAACCAGGTTCTACAAAGTTATAGAGCTGATTTAGGCGTTATTGATAACATTTTTCAGATTACTTACAGAAAAAAAAATGTATTCAGTTGAAGTGTTGCCGGATGATAAAAAACAGTTTTTTTTTTTATACTGTGATTTTTAGGAAATTTTCTATTGAATAAGAATAAAAGACTTCAACATTTATTTTAAGTTTTCTTACGTTTTTCAACTGAATATTTCTTTTTATATTGCGTGTAAACTGGCAATCTTTTTTTGATGTATGATGTTTTGCGTAAGTAAAGATCTTTTATTTGAAGTAGAACTTACTAATTTTCACTAGGCAATTTTATACTGTAAACCCAACATAACAAGAGGCGGACTTTAAACCCCAATATCTGTATAAACTTACTATTGAATAAGCATAAGAGAATAAAAGACTACAAAGCGATCTATACAAAATTTATTTTAAGGTTTTCTTGCGTATTTCGATTGAATATTTCTTTTTCTATTAAGCGTAAACTGGCAACCCTTTTTCTTTGATGTATGGTGCTTAAACACCTTTCATTTGAAGACAGAACTTACTAACTTTTTGTAGGCGAATTTCAAACTGTAAACCCAACATGAAAAAAAAAAACGAAAAATCTCAAATTCCGCTTTCGGAGGCGGACTTGAAACCCCGCCGCCCCGATTCCACCAGCTACTCGTGACCTCCCCAATCCAAGCGATAGCTTCTATTCTGAAGCGAAGGCGGACTTAAAACCCCACCGCGTCGTGAATTGATCTATTCTAATATCTGGCCACGACACCGGTTCCCTTTTCATATAATAAATAAATCTTACATAAATAATGTAATGTAATAATGCAAAAACAATAAATACAATATCTTGATATTTAATTTATTTATTAATGATAGTAGCACTGATGGAAATATATGTTCGATTGTTTTTTACATTATACAGTAATTTACTAATAAATAAGAATAAGAGAATAAAAGACAAAACTTATTTTAAGTATCTATATAAAATTTATTTTAAGTTTTGCTTGCGTTTTTCGACTGAATATTTCTTTTTCTATTAAGTGTCAACTGGCAACACTTTTTCTTTGATGTATGGTGCTTTGTGTCCTTTAACACCTTTTATTTGAAGATAGAACTTACTGACCTTTTCTACGCAATTTCAAACTGTAAACCCGACATAACAATAGGCGGACTTGAAACCCCACCGCCCCGATTCCACCAGCTACTCGTTACCTCCCCGGGCTGCTCGCAGCCCGGGGCAACCAAGCGAAAGCTAGTCTATCTATAATATATAAAGCTCAATTACCACTGACTGACTGACTCACTGACTCACTCCATGCTTTTTTCGGGTAGAAAGAGGGGGAAAATGACATTTTCATGTATGGAGACTGACTAATATTTTTTTAAAATGAGTTGAAATGGCATATCGGTTCAGCCAAAAAACAAAATGGCGGCGAGATAATTTTTTTAATTTCTACATTATTCACTCTACGATTACGATATTCAAAATGGTCGTAGAGTGGGCTAAAAAAATGGCACTGAAAAAAGGTTTGATTAAAAAAACAAAATGGCGGCCGAGATATTTTACCTCGAAAATTGACATTTTTCGACCTCTGTTCGGGCAATCGTCATTTCTTTTGTGGTGGGTTCGGAGGGGGGATTTTTGCTCCTTCAGCTCGGAAGTATAGTCAATTTTCACGTACGGGGAGTTTTCATTTGCGCGTCAACATGGCGGCGGCGGGGGCGGCCATTTTGTTTCGGCAATGAAAAATCGCCATTTTCCAGTGAGATTTTCTCCAAGATGGCGGCGATCGGACTGGTTTTCTTTGTATGGGGCGGTCGTGGGGCTCGGTAGGATCTTTCCATATTAGTACTAATTTCTACCATTTTCGTGGTAGTTTAGGAGATTTTGGAAGAAAAGTGAAATTTCGAAATACGCACTTTTCGCGGAAAACAGACTCGATGCGGTGTGGCGCCGGGGGAGCCCTATGACTTTTGGTAGTTTTCGTTTCCGCGAGCTGACAACCCTGGGCTCCACGGTAGAAAACGTGTTTTTCGACATGCCCTCATAACCCGAATTGTTTGGGAACCTGGGTGGCCAGCGGAGAAAATCTGTGAATGAGGTGCCGCGCCAAATATAGTCGTGACTATGGGAAAATTGTGAAACTCGGCAAAATCAATATGGCGGCGCCGGCAGCGGCCATTTTGTGATTTTTTCACTTTTTCGAAAAATTCAAACGCACTTTTAGCCTACATGGCAACATTGTAGCTCTTCGCTTGGTAAGGACCGGTCGTTAGTCTCCACCGGCTCTTTTGTATGAGGTGAAAATTTTCCCCGATTTTAGGGTAATTTCGGAGATTTACCCCAAAAAGGTGAAAAGTAGAAGGAGCCGTTTGGGAATTTCAAAAATGACTTTTCCTCGACGGAGGGCACTCCCCAAAATGACATTTGGCCATTTTGATCGTCGTCACCTGGCAACCCTGGTAGGAGCGGCGATTTGAAAAATTTTGCCCGTTTTTTACTTTGTCGACTCTAGCGCAGTCGGTATTACCACTAAGAAAATGGTAAAAACTGCATCGGATGCGTTATCGAGTTGGCCACACCGGTACGGAGCCGGATTTTCAAAATTCAAGATGGCGGCCAAACCAGCGGCCATTTTATCCGAAAAATTGGGTATCGTCACCACGTCGAGCCGATTTTGACGCACTTGGCGACATTTGTCAGAGTACTTCCGGGGAAACATTTTTTAGGCAAGTAACTATAGTGTTGCCTGGTGAAAAAAAATCTCGAAAATTTTTGATATTTTATGAGATTTTTGAGGAAACACTTTTTGTCGAATTATGGATTTTTTTTGATGCAAATATTTTAATTTTAACTTTTCAAGATACCCGATGGAAAAAATAGACCGATCGACTGGCAACACTGAGAGCAAACAACGTTTGAAATTCAACCTCGATTTTGACCGACTTGGCAAACCCGCAGGTGTTTGGCATGTATGGGGCAATTATGTGTCTCTTCAAACTCTTTCATATGAAGAAAAAATTTTACCCGATTTTAGGGTATTTTTTGAGATTTACCCCAAAAACTGTAACTGTCAAAGGAACAATTTTAGAACTCGAAAATTGGCATCCGTCGATGGAGGGCACATCCCAAAATGACATTTGACTATTTTTATCGCCTACATCTGGCAACACCGGCAGCTACGGCTGTTTGAAAGTTCAATGCCCACTATTCACGTTTTGGACTCTAGCGCAGTCATTATCGCCGCTAGGAAAATAATAGAAACTGCGTTGGATGCGCCAATAGTGGCTACTTGGTCTGAGGTTGAAATTTCAAAATTCAAGATGGCGGCTTAAACAGCGACCATTTTATCAGGAAAATTGATCATTTTTCATGACTTTCACTTTACAGAGTTGATTTTGGCGTCCTTGGTAACATTTTTAAGAATACTTTTAACAAAAATATGTATTCAGTTGAAGTGTTGCCAGATGAAAAAAAACTGTAAATTTTTTGATACCGAGATTTTTGAGAAACTTTCATGTATGTCATTGATGAAAAAAGTTTTAATACGAAAATGTTATAGGTTTATTATATTGACATATGGGTTAGGTTTGGTTAGTGTATGAAAGACAACGCACGAGCCGAGCGAGCGCAGCGAGCGTGCCGCGGCAGCGGCCGGCGAAGTGTCAGAAAAGAATCGCTTTTGTTGATCGTAATATTTGGTTTATAATGTTTAAAAGATGATCGTGTAAGGCTGAACATATTTTTCTATACTTTTAGATTATTGAGAAACATTTTCTTTTGATATTCAAAATAAAGGTGTTCTACATATGTATGAGTTTGAAATTTGACATTTATTTATTTGGTGTATTATTTAAGGTAACACGGGGGGAAATATCTACTTGATCCTTTTTCATACTAATTATAAACTTACTTTTTCTTTGATGTATGGTGCTTAAACAACTTTCATTTAAAGACAGAACTTATTAACTTTTTGTTGGCGATTTCAAACTTTAAAACAAACATATCAAAAAATATCGAAAATCTCAAATTCTGCAACGGAGGCGGACTTAAAACCCCACCGCCCCGATTCCACTAGCTACTCGTGACCTCCCCGGGCTGCGAGCAGCCCGGGGCAACCAAGCGAAAGCTTCTATTCTGAAACGAAGGCGGAGTGAAAACCCCATCGCGTCGTGAATTTATCTATTCTAATATCTGGCCACGACATCGGTTCCCTTTTCATATAATAAATAAATCTTACATAAATAATGTAATGTAATAATGCAAATACAATAAATACTATTTCTTGACATTTAATTAATTAATTAATTATAGTAACACTGATGGAAATATATGTTCGATTGTTTTTTAATATTATACAATAATTTACTAATAAATAAGAATAAGAGAATAAAAGACAAAACTTATTTTAAGTATCTATACAAAATTTATTTTAAGTTTTGCTTGCGTTTGTCGACTGAATATTTCTTTTTCTATTAAGTGTCAACTGGCAACACTTTTTCTTTGATGTATGGTGCTTTGTGTCCTTTAACACCTTTTATTTGAAGATAGAACTTACTGACTTATTCTATGCAATTTCAAACTGTAAACCCGACATAACAAGAGGCGGTCTTAAAACCCCACCGCCCCGATTCCACTAGCTACTCGTGACCTCCCCGGGCTGCTCGCAGCCCGGGGCAACCAAGCGAAAGCTAGTTTATCGTTTTATAAAATTAATATAACCATCTTGGTAGAACTGTTTTGTAAACTTATATACAATTTTTATAGAGGTTTTACCGTGTCTTCGCTCGCGCAAATTATAGCCCATGTCAACCACGCATGTTGTAGCTTCCGATAGGTGAAAGATTTTTTAAAATCAGTCCAGTAATGTTAGAGCCAATTCGATTCAAAAAAAAATCAAAATATTCCTTTTTATAACATTAGTAGGTATAGATGTAACGATGTGCCGTACCACCGTTTACTTCGTCCTAGCGTTTCCGCATGCAAACTTTTTGTCTTTGATCATCATCATCAGCCCTTTTACGTCCCCACTACAGGGTCTCAGGCCTTCTTTATGGATGGTTAGAAGGATGGGCCAAGACCCTCCACGCTGGCTAAATGCGGATTGGAGGGTATTAACGACTGCAAATACAGCTGGGACCAACGGCTTAATGTGCCTTCTGAAGCACGAAGTAGCTCGAGATAATAATATTTTGGTCACCCATCCCGTGAGCAACCTTTGCGAAAGTTGCTTAACAACAACAAATCGCGGGCCGCGGCGCTTATCCTCTATGCTTACACTATCTGCTTGGTTCAGCAGTTTCAACATGAAAACGTTCCAGACGCACGGGCTTTCGCATTCACAATATAAGTATGGATTACAATCGACTAAACTATTGATTACTATTTATAATTATTTATCACTAACAAAGGCGTATCCTTGTATCTTTCCTCGTGCTCCTTTTGCCTCTTGGCGAGTAAGTAAGCGAGTCTATCCTTCTTGTCTTGCCAGAGTGCATCCGTACCTGCCTGCGCTTGTTCTACGACTTTTCGGATGTTAGCTTCTTCTTCGACCGACAAAAGATCTGCTAGCCTGAGGTAGGTGCATAGTAAAATTGCAAAACTGTTTGTTTAATCAAGTGATGAGACAATCAAAATTTGAAATTTGAAATAACATACTTAGGTACGTATTATTTATATTTATTATAGAAATCCATAGTCTTTCGAAATATGTAGCGTATGGGGTAGGCAAAGTGCAAGGGCATACCCACTATATGATAGGTACTAAGCAAGGATAGCCTAAACATCACCACCCGCGCTGTTTTTCAGATTACAGTCCACCCTTTCCGGGCGGGTCTTCTATGGGTTGGAAGTAAGGCTCTGGAACACTCGAGTCTTACCCTCAGACAGGGCGAGGATACGGAGATGCGACATGCTAGGTACTATTATTAAACACGTAAATTATAGCCTGTGTCACTCGCGTATGACGTAGCTTTTTCCGTAGTTGGAAGAATTTCCATGATGGGATCAGTATTTCCAAAGATACTTTATATAGTGACTCCCTATAAACAAATTAAGAAATTTTACCTCTTTATATCATAGTATAGATTACGGAATTCAAACTTATTCAACTTTCAATTTCCTATTCACGACCAAGTATATTCACTACCTGCACACGTAGTATGACGAACTTGAGAACGTTTTGTTTACACCCAAATGTCACTTTTCTCGGGTGCGCCCATACGATATCTCACTGTGGACTCGAGAAAGTGACATTTGGGTGTAGACAAAGCATTTCTCGAGATTGTCATGCTATGCGCGCAGCGAGTTAGATCCGTGAATAATGACACACGTCATTATTGTAGCCTACAAGTTGTGATACAATTTTTTAATAATTTCAACAAGAAGTTACGTATCTACTTATAAAAGTGTATACGTAATATATGTTTAAGCAATACATTAACCTCTTCCTTTTCTCTTTCAGGTCCTGTTGATAAGACTGCATGCAGAGGTCCACCCGACGTGCAACGTCGTTTATAAGAGATCTGATAAATTATAAAAGCAGTATACATATCACTTATAACATTTATGAGTTTACGGCAATGTCTTCACTGGCGACGTCTTCTTTAGAACTGATTGTAGAACTATCGCATACATTTATCAACCGATTTGCTCCTGTGCCTATTATTAATGATATAAAGCGTAATATACGGTTATGTATTTGTAAAAGGTGTATTCTTATGACTCTGGAATCTGCAGAACTACACCGCCTATAGGAACTGTTACATTTTAAAATGTACTAACTTACATATTGTCCAGCATACGGGACAATATGTAAGTTAGTTCTTTTTATCCAATCCAATCAATTTCATATAAATTAATCTTTATAATTTACAATATTAGTACTTGATGCAATATTATGAAGAAAATCTAAGGGTAAAGGGGACTGCAAAAATTAGAGCTATAAAATAATAAGTTCAAAAACTAAAACTCTACTACAGCTAAATAACGCTCTAAGAAGTTTCAAACAAGATATTTAATAGCGACGACCAAAGGACAGCGTAATCGTATGTCACTGATCATAATAAAACAAACTGTTGTTTTGTTATTATCAGTGCCATACGAAAAGACGCTTCTAATGATACCTCATTTGTCTAGACACTGTGAGTCATTTCGAAGTTATAAGGGAATAGGCGAACATTCTTACATACGTACATATATACCTACATACCGGCCAAAATCATAACCCTCCTTTTCGCTTCGCCGCCGTAGACGAGTAAAAATATTTTTTATTAAATGAGTATTTTGAATTAATTAAATTGAATCGCAGAATATAGATTTAAGTTTTATTTTAACATACAAGTAACAAAAAAAAAAAAACAATTTGAGCCTTAAAGAGCATGTAATACGGTTTATAATTTATAAACGTCCCACCTGCGATCGCATCTAATGAAGAAATCGCTGTACTGTTTATCTTTAAGTTCCTTCAGTTTGTTCTCGTCACCTTTCCTCTGTTCATCTTCTAAAGCGCGAAGTTTCTTGACGAATTTCACGTATCGGAACGTAGAATTTAAAACACGTGACGTCTAGTGATGAGTGTATGAAAATTAGTAAAATAATAATTGCAGGTAAATTTTATACCTTTAACGTCATAAAAAATTATATGTTAAAAAAAATTATATGTATTCCCGCTCTTCATCACTGAATTTTAGCCGACTATAGATTATAAGATAAGCATGGCTCAGTGTCTTAGTACCCTAGAGCTCTGTAAAGCATTTAGAGTTCACGAAAATATTGGTCATATATCTGCTACTAATCAGAGTAAATGTAAATAAAGTTATGTTTGTAATTCATTATTAATATAAACAATATCTATAAAACTTCCTTTTATAAAGAACTCCCTGTAAATACTTTGGATTTCGTAGAAAATTTTGAAAGACGCTGACCTAGATACTACAAAACCGGTCTTTAATTAGTTACTCTTAAACTTTTTGGATTTTAGGGACAGGAATGACTGGAAATTAAAATCTACCAAAATAGTTTCGTAAAAATAATAACCAAGGACAACATAATCTAAGTGTGTAGTATAAATAGACGTCTTTGCTATATTCTTACATAGTAACAATCAGGTCTTCCTCTGGGACCAGCTCCATCTTTAGGGATCCTCTGTCGTGGCGCCTGAGGTGGTGGTTCAAGCATGATTTTTCTTATTTGGAATCTCAAAAAAACGAGTAAAATTTTTATATACAAATCAATCAACGATAACACTCCATGACTTCAATACAAAAAAATGTCATGCCATGGTTGACGTTAGTTTAGTTTTTTATTGACTTCCATAATTTTTGTGTGCCTCAATCTAATGACTTCTATAATTTATAGGTCTATAAAAAGTTTTACTAATGACCTAAGAAAATTGTCTGTGATTTGTAGTAACGACGATTTAAAACTCCTTGGTTTTTTGCCTTGCCCTCCCCTGTAGGAATGGGAAAATTTAACCAAAGAAAGAAATTTTTATGGTTTTATTATGATAAAAAAGAAATTTCATATTTTTGCATCTATTAATCGACGTGGATTTCTGAATCGTCGGCGTACAAAAAATCTGTGTAAGAGATCTTTATGACTTTACGACATACCTTTGAGGGGTACCAGAATATTGGATATTGTCAACTTGGACGATTTGGATATTAAAAATTTCTATGCTCCAACAAATTTATAATGAGTCTTGTTTCTTTAAAAGATAGGTTTTAAATACAACGCATTCGGGATCCGTCTCACTAGTACAGATACACGAATTTATATGTTTGTCACTTTTATGACTAATAGTTCGTCCTGCTATTTTTGTGGATTTATTTCTGAACTAGATGGCGGCAGTTGTTTAGGAAGGCAACGGCTTGCATAAGATTGTGCTTTTAATGGCACATTCTGGAATTCTAAAGATGGCGCCTGGTAGTACATATCAGCGGTATTTAACCCAAAGAATTAATGATCACTTAAATTGCCAGCTGTTGACGTGGCATGAACCTAAATATAATGATGACTGTGGAAAAGTGTAACTTTTCTCTTCATTTATATAATTGCCGTTATGAAATCATTATAATTAAAACAATTTTAATAATAGATTGCAACAAAGTTCCAATTGGTTCTTGTTCTTGAAATATGCGAGATTTACAGTGTTATTACAAAAAAGATAAACACGCGTTGAACACGTGTTCTATTTGAGCATTGGTTAAGGCAAAACAACCCTTAAACATTGTTTAAAATTTAAACACATGTCATGTTGACACATAATATGTTGTTTATCGAGTATCTAACCTTTCACAATATTTCACTAAAGTTTTGACTTTGATAAGAATTATGTCTTTGAATTTAAATTAAAAATGATAATTTTAGATTAAATATTTTCATTTACAAAAATTATTAACTAATGTGTTTATAAAGATATCTTTTTACGTCTTAAATTTATTATAAGTTTGTATACAGCGTGCATAGAATTGAACGTGTATGAGCGAATGAAAGCCAGTAGTACGAATGTTTCTTCGAAAGAACTAGTGTTACTTAGACAATGTTTAAAAATGAATTTGTAATAGGGAAAATACGACATCATTTTAAACAGGGTTTATATTCTTAAACACAGTTTAGATAAACACATGGTACAACACTTTAACGTCTCTTTTCTAATAACACTGTTAATTTTTACAAATCTGTCATTTTAAAATGTTGTGACATGTAATTAATGATACCGAGGGCGCCATCTATAATAATTTTTGTACAAATAATAAAAAGAGGGAAGATTTGATTGTTTGTTAGTTGATTTGTATGAATCGAATAGGCTCCAAAACTACTCGACGGATTTTATAAAATTCTGTCACCTACGGGCAACTACATCACATACGCGGATGAGATAGGCGATAATTTATACAGGCGAAGTCGTGGTTAAAAGCCAGTTTAAAATAAAATGTTCGTTTTGAAACCCTTTAATTATATGTTACTGTTCGCGTCCGATATCTGTGCTATTAGGTACACTTGTAATGAAATACGAACAATTTTTTTCTGACTATACTCATTCTTTTAATCAACTTTAAAAAAATCAACAAAGTGAGATCCAAAAAATATACAAAACAGTTTAGATAGCAACAGACAGCAGCACATCAGAATTATACAAAATTTTGAACTTCGGTATTCGACTGAACTTCACTAACAATATATATTAAGGTCAATGAAGTACTGTTTGTCAGTTTAGTATAACCTGATGAGATGTTGACTGTACTAGGCAATAAAAGTGCTATAATAAAAGTAATTAAAATCTAAAGAGGTAACATTTTGATTCGCTTACATAATATAATCTTATTTATAAACAAAACACTTCGTATTTCAACATTAATCAACTTCATGTAACAAAACATGATTAAATATTTTCTAAACACAATCAACAAAAAAAGAAAACTTTATAAAACCACAAAGAATTTAATTCTTAATCCTCTGACAGAAGTTCAACATGATCCAGCAGCTTATTTATTTGATTACCACATAATAACGTCAAAAAATTATTAAAACTATTGGATATCTATGCATCTCTTAATTGTAGATTAAAAAATAATAATGGACGGATACTTTTTAACAAAAACATATTGGAATTGTAACTTTACATAGCAGAAATAAACATGCTATTGTAATGGCAAAAAAATAACATATAGTGCATATGACAATCAACAGTATATGACTCAAAAAAGTTAGAAACAAAACGTTTGGAAGTTAAAACCTTATTTCTAATTTAATAAAGCTTAGTTTTCTTAGAATTCACCAGTTTGTAGAAGAAACCATATCATTAGTGAAATATTCTGATGTTGATTGTTATACGCGATCTAATATCAACAAAACTTGTCTTAAATAAAAAAGCTTCAATTCCAGATAACTTTATTTGAAATAATAAAACAATAGAAATAGCCTTTATTATATTATATCAGCGTTCCTTAATCTTATTCTTGACCCAAAATCTTTCAAAAGACGATGTGAGCAAACCAAATACTTTTATACTGATTTATAAATGAAATAAGGCAGGTCTCCGGCTTTAATTTTGTTTATATTTTGGGTCGTAAAGCAAAAAAGGTTTAGAACCACTGTTTTATATAATGAAAGGAAAACTTGTTTACTAGCAATTATCAAAAGATTATTTTTTTCACAATTATGATGTCATTTACTTCCGAATAAACAAAAATAATAAAAATAATTTGAAAATTATATGCCAAGGATGAATTAAGTCACAAATGAAACGCAATTAAAACATTATCTAAATTGTTAATAAATCAAAGAAAACATGATTAAGCAAAGTTCTGTTCCTCCTTTTTAACCAGTATTTGAATATTGATTTTCAATTTAATTGTTTTCACTTGGCAAACATAGCATTACCAAAGTTCTAATTGTATTAAAAATATGTATGTGTTATTATAAAATTAACCAAATGTCATTTGTATTTACTGATCAATAAAGAAATCCCCAGACTACGTCACGCTCAAAGCTGTCTGTGCTAAGGTTTACTGTAACGCATTGAAAAATAAAGGTTATGTCATGATCTCTATAACAGAATTTCCAATATTCACTTCTATTAGAAAATGTAATAATAAAAATAAAATATAAAAACACATTTTTGCCTGAACTACAAAACAAGTTGACAATAAAAACTCACTGTTAGATACATGACTAAAATCCATATTTAGTTATGTATTTACACAAAAAGAATATAGAAAAAATGAACTAATTAAAAATCTTAATAAATAAAATAATTTGAATATCATTCAACTCTGGGTGTCCGACCACAACTTTGTACGGTGAATGTAATACTAGTTCCCTGTTCAATAATTTCAAGTTAGCACTGTTCGGCAACAGGTTTATACTGGATATTTCTAGTTTTAGGCAGACTTGGTCCATAAAGTAAGGCAAACTGGGTGGTAACAGTTCTATGTTGCCGGACCATGTGTACGGTTGGCCTGTTACTTTATTGTATATAGTAATTGTACCAGCTTTCGGCGCAGATTCTGCAGAAAGCATCTGTAAGTAAATAAATTACCTGTAACTCTACAGTTTCATTACAATGTAGATTAAAGTGCCCAGGAACATCATTATTAGTGATGCGTCGAATATTCGTTTGGTATTCGGCCGAATTATTCGGTTTTGGTGCCGAGCATATTCGGTTCGAGTGTTTCTATTTTCTTGGTTACACGACACGGTATAGAACTAAAACACATTTTTTTTATGCAATAATTATGTAATATTATAAGTCAAAGAAATCCAATGAAGAATGTGTTTAATAAAGTTAATAAGAAAAGAAATTAAACTCAATGAAGCATTTATTTTTGAGCCTATATACACGGCAAAACAATGAAATGGTAAACCGAATAATTCGGTCGGATATCCGTTTCGGTAAAGGTTAAACCGAATAGAATTCGGTTATTCGGTGACACCACTATGCGGCGCATCTCTAATAATTATGATCTTTGAATAAAATAAAAAAGGAAGACATTACACTCCTGTATACCTTAAAATTATTGTAATTAATACGAGGACTCACTCACACATTAATAAACTTTTTAGTAAGCGTTACTTATTATTTCTTACTTATTATCTCTATTAATAAGCGTTACTTAGGCGAGTGAGACGCAATTATGAGATTCTATGTTAGCGTAAGCGCGACAGGAAGTCTTGTAACTGACAAACTATATCCATATATATTTTTTTATATTACACGTAATGTATGTACTACACCGTCACATTATCTGTAGACCTCGCTGGAATGTGAAGTCCCGCCCCGTTCCCCTTTCATTTCCCCGCGCTCGCCTAGACGCGTCAGTACCGTCAGCTCTTTCGTTGCCGATACATGTCTTGACATTTTCGCGCTATCACTATTTATTTTTGAAGATTTTATTGTTACGTTTGGAGTTTGATTGTTATATTTGAATAATTGTTGTTGTTATATTTATTGTTAAGTTTAGATTATTTAATTATTGTTTTTTTTTGTTGTTTTGAAGTTCAATTCTACTTCGAAAATGGGAAAGACTATTCACAGTGAAGCAAGGAATTTAATCCTGAAAGTGCTGAAATTTTTTGAATCAGAAAAAGTTAATAAACAATACATTATACCTGTAGACCAAGTTGTTAAACGAACCTGTGCCGCGACTGGTATATCAAAAGCTACTTTGATGAAGATCAAAAAGGAGGCCAAAGAATTAAGTCATGCACAGCCGCCGCTGCCTGCTTCACCGAGTCCCAGCCCGAGTACCAGTACGAGCAATACCCATGATCATGACGTTTTTCATAATAATCCAAGCACAGAAATAAAATTGTCAACACCGGGTAAAAAGCGTAAGCAATATAAAAAAAAAAATTGATATTGATGATTTTGACATCTGCGCTATAAGAAACATTGTTAACAGTTTTTATACTGTAAGAAAATAAGTCCCAACATTAAAGAAAATCCTGGCAGTCGCTAAAACGGATTTAAATTTTAAAGGTGAAAGAACTTACCTTAGAAATATTTTAGTAGATCACTTGGGATATAAATTCAAAAAATGTAAAAATGCTCGTACGGTGCTAATACAAAAGCCTGATATTGCCGCGTGGAGGGCTCGCTACCTGCGCCGGATGAAAGAAAATAGTGAACGAGATGCACACAAAAAACCGGTTACCTATCTAGACGAAACATGGATTCATTCGCACTATACCGTCAATAAATGTTGGCAAAACAGTACGGATAGCAGCGTCAAAAAAAAATTTAACCCCGGCCAAAGATGGATTCTTGTGCATGCCGGCGGAGAAAACGGTTTCATTCCAGGGGCAGAATTGCTATATAAATGCAAACAAACAACTGGCGACTATCATCATGAGATGGATACAAATAATTTTCTAAAATGGCTTAAAGAAAAGTTAATACCTAATTTACCACCGCATGGTATAGTCGTCATTGATAATGCGCCTTACCATTCAACGCAGTTAACAAAGGCGCCCACAAGCTCATCCCTTAAAAGTGAAATGCAAGATTGGTTGCGTAACCATAACATTCCGTTCGACGAAAAGATGACAAAGAAGGAACTGTACCCTATTATTTTAAGGACAAAGCCGCCAAAAAAAATATGTTGTCGATGAATTGATGAGAGAACATGGTCAAGAAATAGTACGTCTGCCACCCTATCATTGTGACCTAAATCCGATTGAATATATATGGAATCTAATAAAACAAAGGGTGGCAGACAAAAATGTTAATCAATTGGAAAAAGAAATTGAAAAGCTAACCAGAGATGCAATTAATTCCATTACATCTTCAGACTGGAAAAAACAAGTAAATCACGTAGAACGACTTCAACAGAAGTATTGGGAGGAAGACCATCTTGAAGAAGATAATTTACGTGAAATTATAATATCCCTAGGAGGAGAAGAGAGTTCAGATAGTGAGATAAGCGATAGCGACAACGAAGATTCAATGACAGGCATAAAACCAATTATTTATTCTGGCAATGAATTTTAAGTGTTTTTGTTAGCGTTGTCGCTTGATAATTGACTATCGGCCAAAAACTTGATTTTGTATTTTTTTTGTATGCAGACCCTTTTGTTATACCTCTTAATATGAACAATTTTAGAAATTATGAACTAATATTTCTCTGCATACTTATCTGTTAAACATTTTTGTACTTTTTTACATACATACTCTATGAGAAAAATAAATAACTTTGTAGTTAACCAAGATACTTTCATTTATTTTTCATAATTACAATAATATTAATCACCATCACAACATAAAACCTTTAAATTATTCAATAATAAAGTTAAAATATTTGTCTTTTATAATTATTAACTGTAATATCCTAGTGATGCTTGTTTTGCACACCATACCACAGCGCCGACGTGACGTCATCGACGCCAGGTCTACAGATAATGTGACCGTGTAGTAACTTTATCGATCCTTATTTATAAAACACCATAATCACTAATTAAACGTTATGTTTTCCATGTATTTAAAAATGGAAAAATAATATAGCGAAACTTGTTTTTAGTTTTAGAGCTAGGTTACTTTTTGAAATGCAATAATGTAGGTATTGTTCTGCTGTAGATCACATTGGTAGTTTACAAATATTATTAATACTGGCACAATCGAATAAGACTCTTTGGACGCCAGTTTTTATAAATTATTTATTATTTCGTGCCTGGACAATTTTCAATTTCACGCATATCCACTACTCATGATCCATTAAAAAGTCAGTGATATTACAAAAAAGATAAACAAGCGTTGAACACATGTTTAAAAAAAATCTATTACAAAATCGTATTTAGGCACTGTTTAAGCCTAAACATCCCTTAAACATTGTTTAAAATATTAACACTCGTTGAGAGTAGTTTAACGCGTGTCTAACCTCAAAATAGGTTGCGCTTTGTTGAAAATTCATCCATATTCTTAAGATAAATATATAAAAGAAAGTACATATTTAGTGGATTGTTTGCCGACAAAATATATGAAATTATCCACATAATCCTCGAGATGAAAGTATAGATCTGCAAATAAATACACGTAGCATGTGCATGTGTGCATAGCTTCTGTGTCTGTTCACAGCTTGTGAACATGTGCGGCGTTGGGTTCGGCATCAGGTAGTCGTTGTTCCGTTTCTTCATATTATTTCGTAGTTTTACTTAACCTTACTCTAATATAATTTTGAATAGAAGTGCCAGTTTAAAAACGTTAATTTTGTACTTTCTTTTTTACTTTTGAAAGTTATTAGCTAATACGTTATTGAACATATCTTTTTACGATTAGAATTTATCATAAGTCTGTATACAATGTGCATATAATGCTTTACGGGTTGCATGTTTAAATCAGCGTTAGTTAGACTACGACTAAAAATGGATTTGTAATAGACAAAGTTAAACATCATTTTAAACAAGGTTTATATTCTTAGACATTGTTTACTTAAACACATGGTAAAACCCTGTCTAACATCTCTTTTGTAATAACACTGCTAAACTTTTACGAACGTCCGTCACCATCTGACGACGAAAAATCATAACTTTAAATTTAAGATAAACGTGCGATTTCAAGACTTTGTTTATTATTATGATTTAAATTATTATTTTTTGTGCAACTTCCGTAACTTACCTTTTCACTAGCGAAACTACCATTACCAGCAGCTGCCATACTGGGGCGTTAATATCTCACCTATTTATATCAATCAAAGTTTATGGCAACATTCGATCGTTGACAGACTAACCGTGAGTGTTGCCATTATGCAATCCGGGTCCTCGTACTTGGCACTGAGTACGTACAGCGTGCGCGCGTACTCTACGACTTGGCTCGACCACAGCCGCTGCTGCACCAGACCGCCGAGGGTGTACGTTATGTTCCATTCGTTCTTGTCTTGTTTATGAATCTGATGCGAATGATCCTGCCAGAATTTAAAATAAAATACCCAAGTAAATATATTATCCTGTGTCAATCGAACACAAGCAAATTTTTTGATAGAATATCATTATTAAAATTCATTTCATCTTGAGTTATCTTAAAATGATAAATTTTATCTTGATATCTAAAGATAGCATCTTTTGATATCTTAAGATGACATCTTGATCTACGAAATGTATATTTCGTATCGCTTGGCATCTTAAGATACATTAATATGAAAATATTATCATATTAGCCATGTGCAATTAGAATGTATGACGAGCGATATTTTATCTTAAGATATATTATAGTATCTTAACTGTCTGTTTCGACCTTAAGTACAAAATAAATTATTATTAAGCGATGTGAACATTTCTTTTTAACACATCTTTTACAGACTTTCAAATATAAAGAAACTGTTACGTCACAATAGCTATTATATTACACTAGCCATACGCTTCCAATTGGCCGGCGACGACGAAATGACGTCAAATAGTACAGTCTCATGAAAATACGCTTCACGACGTTCTGTTTGATTATCTGAAGTTGTTTTGTTATGTAAATATAAGAGATGATTTTCCGAGTACCTTCCTAATGTGATATTCGAGTATGATCCTGGGTCCAGCCCAGGAGCACAGAATGCATTGCATCCTCACATCCATGCCGATACGCTCCATGTAATCCTAGGAAGAGAAACATCTTTATTGTTAACAATACACTATTTATAGATACAAACATATAGTTGACTTACAGCGAGTTGCACAAACATTCATTAAAATTATCATTAGTTCAAAGCGACATTACCCAAATAAGTTCGACATTCATTAGAGCTTAAAGGCGTCATTAAACCTTAATGGACGTCTATGCAACTGACCGTTAATTAGATTGCATAGCAATTGACTGTCTTATCGCTTAAAACGATTTCTTCCTAACCTGTGGATGGGGAAAGAAATAGCCACAATAATGGATATAATATATAAAGCTTAATTACCACTGACTGACTGACTCACTGACTCACTCCATGCTTTTTTCGGGTAGAAAGAGGGGGAAAATGACATTTTCATGTATGGAGACTGACTAATATTTTTTTAAAATGAGTTGAAATGGCATATCGGTTCAGCCAAAAAACAAAATGGCGGCGAGATAATTTTTTTAATTTCTACATTATTCACTCTATGATTACGATATTCAAAATGGTCGTAGATTTGGCTAAAACAATGACACTGAAAAAAGGTTTGATTAAAAAAACAAAATGGCGGCCGAGATATTTTAACTCGAAAATTGACATTTTTCGACCTCTGTTCGGGCGGTCGTCATTTCTTTTTTTGTGGGTTCGGAGGGGGGATTTTTGCTCCTTCAGCTCGGAAGTATAGTCGATTTTCACGTACGGGGAGTTTTCATTTGCGCGTCAACATGGCGGCGGCGGGGGCGGCCATTTTGTTTCGGCAGTGAAAAATCGCCATTTTCCAGTGAGATTTTCTCCAAGATGGCGGCAATGTACTGGTTTTCTTTATATGGGGCGGTCGTGGGGCTCGGTAGGATCTTTCCATATTAGTACTAATTTCTACCATTTTCGTGGTAGTTTAGGAGATTTTGGAAGAAAAGTAAAATTTCGAAATACGCACTTTTCGCGGAAAACAGACTCGATGCGGTGTGGCGCCGGGGGAGCCCTATGACTTTTGGTAGTTTTCGTTTCTGTGAGCTGACAACCCTGGGCTCCACGGTAGAAAACGTGTTTTTCGACATGCCCTCATAACCCGAATTGTTTGGGAACCTGGGTGGCCAGCGGAGAAAATCTGTGAATGAGGTGCCGCGCCAAATATAGTCGTGACTATGGGAAAATTGTGAAACTCGGCAAAATCAATATGGCGGCGCCGGCAGCGGCCATTTTGTGATTTTTTCACTTTTTCGAAAAATTCAAACGCACTTTTAGCCTACATGGCAACATTGTAGCTCTTCGCTTGGTAAGGACCGGTCGTTAGTCTCCACCGGCTCTTTTGTATGAGGTGAAAATTTTTCCCGATTTTAGGGTAATTTCGGAGATTTACCCCAAAAAGGTGAAAAGTAGAAGGAGCCGTTTGGGAATTTTAAAAATACTTTTCCTCGACGGAGGGCACTCTCAGAAATGACATTTGGCCATTTTGATCGTCGTCACCTGGCAACCCTGGTAGGAGCGGCGATTTGAAAAATTTTACCCGTTTTTTACTTTGTCGACTCTAGCGCAGTCGGTATTACCATTCAGAAAATGGTAAAAACTGCATCGGATGCGTTATCGAGTTGGCCACATCGGTACGGAGCCGGATTTTCAAAATTCAAGATGGCGGCCAAACCAGCGGCCATTTTATCCGAAAAATTGGGTATCGTCACCACGTCGAGCCGATTTTGACGCACTTGGCGACATTTGTCAGAGTACTTCCGGGGAAACATTTTTTAGGCAAGTAACTATAGTGTTGCCTGGTGAAAAAAAATCTCGAAAATTTTTGATATTTTATGAGATTTTTGAGGAAACACTTTTTGTCGAATTATGGATTTTTTTTGATGCAAATATTTTAATTTTAACTTTTCAAGATACCCGATGGAAAAAATAGACCGATCGACTGGCAACACTGAGAGCAAACAACGTTTGAAATTCAACCTCGATTTTGACCGACTTGGCAAACCCGCAGGTGTTTGGCATGTATGGGGCAATTATGTGTCTCTTCAAACTCTTTCATATGAAGAAAAAGTTTTACCCGATTTTAGGGTATTTTTTGAGATTTACCCCAAAAACTGTAACTGTCAAAGGAACAATTTTAGAACTCGAAAATTGGCATCCGTCGATGGAGGGCACATCCCAAAATGACATTTGACTATTTTTATCGCCTACATCTGGCAACACCGGCAGCTACGGCTGTTTGAAAGTTCAATGCCCACTATTCACGTTTTGGACTCTAGCGCAGTCATTATCGCCGCTAGGAAAATAATAGAAACTGCGTTGGATGCGCCAATAGATGGCTACATTGGTCTGAGGTTGAAATTTCAAAATTCAAGATGGCGGCTTAAACAGCGACCATTTTATCAGGAAAATTGAACATTTTTCATGACTTTCACTTTACAGAGTTGATTTTGGCGTCCTTGGTAACATTTTTAAGAATACTTTTAACAAAAATATGTATTCAGTTGAAGTGTTGCCAGATGAAAAAAAACTGTAAATTTTTTGATACCGAGATTTTTGAGAAACTTTCATGTATGTCATTGATGAAAAAAGTTTTAATACGAAAATGTTATAGGTTTATTATATTGACATATGGGTTAGGTTTGGTTAGTGTATGAAAGACAACGCACGAGCCGAGCGAGCGCAGCGAGCGTGCCGCGGCAGCGGCCGGCGAAGTGCCAGAAAAGAATCGCTTTTGTTGATCGTAATATTTGGTTTATAATGTTTAAAAGATGATCGTGTAAGGCTGAACATATTTTTCTATACTTTTAGATTATTGAGAAACATGTTCTTTTGATATTCAAAATAAAGGTGTTCTACATATGTATGAGTTTGAAATTTGACATTTATTTATTTGGTGTATTATTTAAGGTAACACGGGGGGAAATATCTACTTGATCCTTTTTCATACTAATTATAAACTTACTTTTTCTTTGATGTATGGTGCTTAAACAACTTTCATTTAAAGACAGAACTTATTAACTTTTTGTTGGCGATTTCAAACTTTAAAACAAACATATCAAAAAATATCGAAAATCTCAAATTCTGCAACGGAGGCGGACTTAAAACCCCACCGCCCCGATTCCACTAGCTACTCGTGACCTCCCCGGGCTGCGAGCAGCCCGGGGCAACCAAGCGAAAGCTTCTATTCTGAAACGAAGGCGGAGTGAAAACCCCATCGCGTCGTGAATTTATCTATTCTAATATCTGGCCACGACATCGGTTCCCTTTTCATATAATAAATAAATCTTACATAAATAATGTAATGTAATAATGCAAATACAATAAATACTATTTCTTGACATTTAATTAATTAATTAATTATAGTAACACTGATGGAAATATATGTTCGATTGTTTTTTAATATTATACAATAATTTACTAATAAATAAGAATAAGAGAATAAAAGACAAAACTTATTTTAAGTATCTATACAAAATTTATTTTAAGTTTTGCTTGCGTTTGTCGACTGAATATTTCTTTTTCTATTAAGTGTCAACTGGCAACACTTTTTCTTTGATGTATGGTGCTTTGTGTCCTTTAACACCTTTTATTTGAAGATAGAACTTACTGACTTTTTCTATGCAATTTCAAACTGTAAACCCGACATAACAAGAGGCGGTCTTAAAACCCCACCGCCCCGATTCCACTAGCTACTCGTGACCTCCCCGGGCTGCTCGCAGCCCGGGGCAACCAAGCGAAAGCTAGTTTATCGTTTTATAAAATTAATATAACCATCTTGGTAGAACTGTTTTGTAAACTTATATATTTGTAAAGAGGTTTTACCGTGTCTTCCCTCGCGCAAATTATAGCCCATGTCAACCAAGCATGTTGTAGTTTCCGGTAGGTGAAAGATTTTTTAAAACCAGTCCAGTAGTTTTGAGCCAATTCGATACAAACAAACAATCAAAACTGTTCTCTTTATAATATTGATGTAACGATGTGCCGTAGCACCGTTTACTTCGTCCTAGGTTTCCGCATGCAAACTTTTTGTCTTTGATCATTATCATCAGCCGTTTTAAGTCCCCCTTTAGGGGCTCAGGCCTTCTTTATGGATGGTTAGGAGGATGGCGAAGACCCTCCACGCTGGCTAAATGCGGATTGGAGGGTATTAACGACTGCAAATGCAGTTGGGACCAACGGCTTAACGTGCCTTCCGAAGCACGAAGTAGCTCGAGATAATAATTTTTTGGTCACCCATCCCGTGAGCAACCCTTGCGAAAGTTGCTTAACAACAACAATCACGGGCCGCGGCGCTTATCCTCTACGCTTACACATCTGCTTAGCTCAGTAGTTTCAACATGAACGTTACAGACGCACGGACTTTCGCATTCACAATATAAGTATGGATTACAATCGACTAAACTATTGAATACTATTTATATAAATATTTATCACTAACAAAGGCGTATCCTTGTATCTTTCCTCGTGCTCCTTTTGCCTCTTGGCGAGTAAGTAAGCGAGTCTATCCTTCTTGTCTTGCCAGAGTGCATCCGTACCTGCCTGTGCTTGTTCTACGACTTTTCGGATGTTAGCTTCTTCTTCGACCGACAAAAGATCTGCTAGCCTGAGGTAGGTGCATAGTAAAATTGCATAACTGTTTGTTTAATCAAGACAGTGATGAGACAATCAAAATTTTAAATATAACATACTTATATTTCAAATTTTGATTTTTGTACGTACAAATTTTGGTACGTATTATTTATATTTATTATAGAAATCCGTTAAGTCTTTCGAAATATGTAGCGTATGGGGTAGGCAAAGCGCAAGGGCATACCCACTAAAACCCGATGACCCACTATATGATAGGTACTAAGCAAGGACAGCCCAAACATCACCACCCGCGCTGTTTTTCAGATTACAGTCCACCCTTTCCGGGCGGGTCTTCTATGGGTTGGAAGTAAGGCTCTGGAACACTCGAGTCTTACCCTCAGACAGGGCGAGGATACGGAGATGCGACATGCTAGGTACTATTACTAAACACGTAAATTATAGCCTGTGTCACTCGCGTATGACGTAGCTTTTTCCGTAGTTGGAAGAATTTCCATGATGGGATCAGTATTTCCAAAGATACTTTATATAGTGACTCCCTATAAACAAATTAAGAAATTTTACCTCTTTATATCATAGTATAGATTACGGAATTCAAACTTATTCAACTTTCAATTTCCTATTCACGACCAAGTATATTCACTACCTGCACACGTAGTATGACGAACTCGAGAACGTTTGTCTACACCCAAATGTCATTTTCTCGGAGGCGCCCATACGATACCTCACTGTCGACTCGAGAAAGCGACATTTGGGTGTAGACAAAGCATTTCTCGAGATTGTCATGCTATGCGCGCAGCGAGTTAGATCCGTGAATAATGACAGACGTCATTATTCTAGCCTACAAGTTGTGATACAATTTTTTAATAATTTCAACAAGTAGCTACGTATCTACTTATAAAAGTGTATACGTAATATATGTTTAAGCAATACATTAACCTCTTCCTTTTCTCTTTCAGGTCCTGTTGATAAGACTGCATGCAGAGGTCCACCCGACGTGCAACGTCGTTTATAAGAGATCTGATAAATTATAAAAGCAGTATACATATCTCTTATAACATTTATGAGTTTACAGCAACGTCTTCACTGGCGACGTCTTCTTTAGAACTGATTGTAAAACTATCGCATACATTTATCAACCGATTTGCTCCTGTGCCTATTATTAATGATATAAAGCGTAATATACGGTTATGTATTTGTAAAAGGTGTATTCTTATGACTCTGGAATCTGCAGAACTACACCGCCTATAGGAACTGTTACATTTTAAAATGTACTAACTTACATATCGTCCAGCATACGGGACAATATGTAAGTTAGTTCTTTTTATCCAATCCAATTAAATTCATATAAAATAATCTTTATAATTTACAATATTAATACTTGAAGCAATATTATGAAGAAAATCTAAGGGTAAAGGGGACTGCAAAAATTAAAGCTATAAAATAATAAGTTCAAAAACTAAAACTCGACTACAGCTAAATAACGCTCTAAGAAGTTTCAAACAAGATATTTATATAGCGACGACCAAAGGACAGCGTAATCGTATGACACTGATCATAATAAAACAAACTGTTGTTTTGTTATTATCAGTGCCATACGAAAAGACGCTTCTAATGATACCTCATTTGTCTAGACACTGTGAGTCATTTCGAAGTAATAAGGGAATAGACGAACATTCTTACATACGTATATATGTACCTACATACCGGCCAAAATTATAACCCTCCTTTTCGCTTCGCCGCCGTAGACGAGTAAAAATATTTTTTATTAAATGAGTATTTTGAATTAATTAAATTGAATCTCAGAATATAGATTTAAGTTTTATTTTAACATACAAGTAACAAAAAAAAAATCAATTTGAGCCTTAAAGAGCATGTAATACGGTTTATAATTTATAAACGTCCCACCTGCGATCGCATCTAATGAAGAAATCGCTGTACTGTTTATCTTTGAGTTCCTTCAGTTTGTTCTCGTCACCTTTCCTCTGTTCATCTTCTAAAGCGCGAAGTTTCTTGACGAATTTCACGTATCGGAACGTAGAATTTAAAACACGTGACGTCTAGTGATGAGTGTATGAAAATTAGTAAAATAATAATTGCAGGTAAATTTTATACCTTTAACGTCATAAAAAATTATATGTTAAAAAAAAATATATGTATTCCCGCTCTTCATCACTGAATTTTAGCCGACTATAGATTATAAGATAAGCATGGCTCAGTGTCTTAGTACCCTAGAGCTCTGCAAAGCATTTGGAGTTCACGAAAATATTGGTCATATATAATCGGAGTAAATGTACTTAAAATTATGTTTGTAATTCATAATTAATAAACAATATCTATAAAACTTCCTTTTTAAGAAATCCCTGTAAATATTTGGATTTCGTAGAAAATTTTGAAAAACGCTGACCTTGATACTACAAAACCGGTCTTTAATTAGTTACTCTTAAACTTTTTAGATTTTGGGGACAGGAATGACTGGAAATTAAAATCTAGTTTCGTAGAAATAATAATCAACGACATCATAATCTAAGTGTGTAGTATAAATAGACGTCTTTGCTATATTCTTACATAGTAACAATCAGGTCTTCCTCTGGGACCAGCTCCATCTTTAGGGATCCTCTGTCGTGGCGCCTGAGGTGGTGGTTCAAGCATGATTTTTCTTATTTGGAATCTCAAAAAAACGAGTAAAATTTTTATATACAAATCAATCAACGATAACACTCCATGACTTCAATACAAAAAAATGTCATGCCATGGTTGACGTTAGTTTAGTTTTTTATTGACTTCCATAATTTTTGTGTGCCTCAATCTAATGACTTCTATAATTTATAGGTCTATAAAAAGTTTTACTAATGACCTAAGAAAATTGTCTGTGATTTGTAGTAACGACGATTTAAAACTTTTTTGATTTTTTTTTGCCTTGCCCTTCCCTGTAGGAATGGGAAAATTTAACCAAAGAAAGAAATTTTTATGGTTTTATTATGATAAAAAAGAAATTACATATTTTTGCATCTATTAATCGACGTGGATTTCTGAATCGTCGGCGTACAAAAAATCTGTGTAAGAGATCTTTATGACTTTACGACATACCTTTGAGGGGTACCAGAATATTGGATATTGCCAACTTGGACGATTTGGATATTAAAAATTTCTATGCTCCAACAAATTTATAATGAGTCTTGTTTCTTTAAAAGATAGGTTTTAAATACAACGCATTAGGGATCCGTCTCACTAGTGCCTACAGATACACGAATTTATATGTTTGTCACTTTTATGACTCGAATAGTTCGTCCTGCTATTTTTGTGGATTTATTTCTGAACTAGATGGCGGCAGTTGTTTAGGAAGGCACCAGCTTGCATAAGATTGTGCTTTTAATGACACATTCTGGAATTCTAAAGATGGCGCCTGGTAGCACATATCAGCGGTATTTAACCCATAGAATTAATTATCACTTAAAGTGCCAGCTGTTGACTATAATAATTTTTGTCCAATAATAAAAAACGGAAAATTTGATTGTTTGTTAGTTCGTGTATGAATTGAATAGACTCCAAAACTTCTGGTCGGTTTTTATAAAATTCTGTCACCTACGGGCAACTACATCAGATACGCGGATGAGATAGGCGATAATTTATACAGGCGAAGTCGCGGAAAAAAGCCAGTTTAAAATAAAATGTTCGTTTTGAGACCCTTTAGTTATATGTTACTGTTCGCGTCCGATATCTGTGCTTTTAGGTACACTTGTAATGAAATACGATCAATTTTTTCTGACTATACTCATTATTTTAATCAACTTTAAAAAAATCAACAAAGTGAGATCGAAAAAATATACAAAACAGTTTAGATAGCAACAGACAGCAGCACATCAGAATTATACAAAATTTTGAACTTTGGTATTCGACTTTGAACTTTACCAAAAATATAAAATAAGTATTGTTTGTAAGTTTAGTATAACCTGATGAGATGTTGACTGTACTAGGCAATAAAAGTGCTATAATAAAAGTAATTAAAATCTAAAGAGGTAACATTTTGATTCGCTTACATAATATAATCTTATTTATAAACAAAACACTTCGTATTTCAACATTAATCAACTTCATGTAACAAAACATGATTAAATATTTTCTAAACACAATCAACAAAAAAAGAAAACTTTATAAAACCACAAAGAATTTAATTCTTAATCCTCTGACAGAAGTTCAACATGATCCAGCAGCTTATTTATTTGATTACCACATAATAACGTCAAAAAATTATTAAAACTATTGGATATCTATGCATCTCTTAATTGTAGATTAAAAAATAATAATGGACGGATACTTTTTAACAAAAACATATTGGAATTGTAACTTTACACAGCAGAAATAAACATGCTATTGTAATGGCAAAAAAATAACATATAGTGCATATGACAATCAACAGTATATGACTCAAAAAAGTTAGAAACAAAACGTTTGGAAGTTAAAACCTTATTTCTAATTTAATAAAGCTTAGTTTTCTTAGAATTCACCAGTTTGTAGAAGAAACCATATCATTAGTGAAATATTCTGATGTTGATTGTTATACGCGATCTAATATCAACAAAACTTGTCTTAAATAAAAAAGGTTCAATTCCAGATAACTTTATTTGAAATAATAAAACAATAGAAATAGCCTTTATTATATTATATCAGCGTTCCTTAATCTTATTCTTGACCCAAAATCTTTCAAAAGACGATGTGAGCAAACCAAATACTTTTATACTGATTTATAAATGAAATAAGGCAGGTCTCCGGCTTTAATTTTGTTTATATTTTGGGTCGTAAGGCAAAAAAGGTTTAGAACCACTGTTTTATATAATGAAAGGAAAACTTGTTTACTAGCAATTATTTTTCTAAAAAATAATAACGACAAGTAAAGATTTTCAAAAGATTATTTTTTTCACAATTATGATGTCATTTACTTCCGAATAAACAAAAATAATAAAAATAATTTGAAAATTATATGCCAAGGATGAATTTAGTCACAAATGAAACGCAATTAAAACATTATCTAAATTGTTAATAAATCAAAGAAAACATGATTAAGCAAAGTTCTGTCCCTCCCTTTTAAGCAGTATTTGAATATTGATTTTCAATTCAATTGTTTTCACTTGGCTAATATAGCATTACCAAAGTTCTAATTGTATTAAAAATATGTATGTGTTATTATAAAATTAACCAAATGTCATTTGTATTTACTGATCAATAAAGTGCTAAGGTTTACTGTAACGCATGGAAAAATAAAGGTTATGTCATGATCTCTATATTGGAATTTCCAATATTCACTTCTATTAGAAAATGTAATAATAAAAATTAAATATAAAAACACATTTTTGCCTGAACTACAAAACAAGTTGACAATAAAAACTCACTGAATACATGACTAAAATCCATATTTAGTTATGTATTCACACAAAAAGAATATAGAAAAAATTAACTAATTAAAAATCTTAATAAATAAAATAATTTGAATATCATTCAACTCTGGGTGACCAACCACAACTTTGTACGGTGAATGTAATACTAGTTCCCTGTTCAATAATTTCAAGTTAGCACTGTTCGGCAACAGGTTTATACTGGATATTTCTAGTTTTAGGCAGACTTGGTCCATAAAGTAAGGCAAACTGGGTGGTAACAGTTCTATGTTGCCGGACCATGTGTACGGTTGGCCTGTTACTTTATTGTATATAGTTATTGTACCAGCTTTCGGCGCAGACTCTGCAGAAAGCATCTGTAAATAAATAAATAATCTGTAGCGTGATGTACCCAGAAACATCATTATTAGTGATGCGTCGAATATTCGTTTGGTATTCGGCCGAATTTTTAGGCTTTGGTGACGAATATATTCGGTTCGAGTATTTCTATTTCTTAGTTATACGACACGGTATAGAAATACAATTTTTTTATGCAGTAGTTATGTTATATTATAAGTCAAAGAAATCCAACGAAGAATGTGTTTAATAAAGTTAATAAGAAAAGAAATTAAACTCAATGAAGCATTTTTGAGCCTGTATACACGGCAAAACAATAAAATGGTAAACCGAATAATTCGGTCGGATATCCGCTTCGGTAGAGGTTAAACCGAATAGAATTCGGTTATTCGGTGACACCACTATGCGGCGAATCTCTAATAATTATGATCTTCGAATAAAATAAAAAAGGAAGACATTACATTCCTGTATACCTTCAAATTATTGTAATTATTATGAGGACTCACTCACACCTTAATAAGCTTTTACGTTACTTTAGCGAGTGAGACGGAATGATGAGATTCTATGTTAGCGTAAGCGCGACAGGAAGTCTTGTAACTGGCAAGCTATATCCATTTTTTTTTATATTACACGTAATGTATGTAACTTTATCGATCCTTATTTATAAAACACCATATTCACTAATTAAACGTTATGTTTTCCATGTATTTAAAAATGGAAAAATAATATAGCGAAACTAGTTTTTAGATTTAGAGCTAGGTTACTTTTTGAAATGCAATAATATAAGTATTGTTCTGCTGTAGATCACATTGGTAGTTTACAAATATTATTAATACTGGCACAATCGAATAAGACTCTTTGGACGCCAGTTTTTATAAATTATTTATTATTTCGTGCCTGGACAATTTTCAATTTCACGCATATCCACTACTCATGATCCATTAAACTTTTACGAACGTCCGTCACCATCTGACGACGAAAAATCACAACTTTAAATTTAAGATAAACGTGCGATTTCAAGAATCATAAATTATCGGAGTTACATACAAAGCTTATTAAAAATATATTTATATAGTTGTTATTTAGAATACACCTTGCTTATAGGTAGCATCCATCACCGAACTAGGTTGTAGACCTGAAACATCGGTAATTGGCGCCTCCAACCTCGGACATTAATCAATGTATTACATTACATCTTTGTTATGTTTTATTTAAATATAGCATTTGAGCAACAATAAACTTCTGTGTAACAAACCAATCATTTAAAGTAATATTGAAAATAAAACAAACTAAAATATAGAAAAGGAAAGAAGTCCTCTCTGTGTGTAATGTGAGAAATGCATGTATGAGGGTCGAGAGGGTGTATTTGTAAGTTATATTAAAATTGGTAACATATTAAATTGTGTAGATAAATAAATAAATTAATTAATTAAAATAAGATAAATTTATTTAATGTGGGTTGAGGAGAATGAGGACATTCGCAATGAAAACTAGACTCAGAAATCTGAAACAAAATCCAAGATTATATACTATGACATATCACCCAACAGTTTTAATTACTAATTCAGTATCCTCGTATGTTTGTTCCAACAACCAATTTGAAACTTTAATTTTACAATCAAACCTATTAAGGCTATAAATGTTAAGTATTTTGTTAATTTTGTTATAAATGTACGGACCCAAAAAAAGATAAAATCTTTTCAAAAACTCAGTCTTAGGACTGATAACCCGATCGCAAACATTATAGTGCCTTCTTCGTTTGACTTTTTGAGGGCAATATTCGAGAGTGCTGTGTTGTTTCATTACAATGGAAAGCAAAAAAAGTTGTCGTACTGTTAGAACCTCACAATGTTTGTAAAGCAGAGAGGTTGAGAAGTAGAAGGGTCTAAAAGTGCAAATCTTAAGTAAAGCTCTCTGGGCAATTTCAGCTTTTTTAATTATTGTTTTAGCTGCACCTCCCCACGACGAAATACAATAAACAATCAATGCCTGACAAAGAGCGAAATACACGCGTTTTAAATTAATTTGATCTAGAATACGCCGTAAGGTTTTAAAAACGTGAAATAATTTCCTTATTCTGGAAGTGAGTAGTTCAATATGACTTCTATAATTCAAATTTTCATCTATCACAACACCGAGATATTTTATTTCGTTAACCCTATGAAGCACTCGACATAAGCATTTATGATTTCCATTGCATGTGTGAGCAATCAACTGTAGACTTTTATTAATTTTCGGACTTTGGATTGCAAACGCAATATATTTTGTTTTATCTGCATTTAATGTAAGCACATTCTGTTGAAGCCATTCACAAGTTTTATTAAAACCAGTTTGTGCAAGTTCGTACGTTTCCTCCCATGTCTTTCCTATAAAAATAAGAGCAGTATCATCTGCATATGATATAATTCTTCTTTGTGAAGAATTCAACAGTAAGAGATCATTGATATAAATCAAGAACAGAGTTGGCCCTAACACACTACCTTGTGGCACACCATGAGAAACAGGAAGGTCATCACTACAGAATTCACCCACTTTTACAAACTGATGCCTATCTCCCAAATAATCTTTGAACAGTTCCAGCTGCGTTCCTCTGATACCGTATAACTCAAGTTTTTTTATGAGATTGGGAATTGAGACAGTATCAAAGGCTTTTGCCAAATCTAAAAAAACTGTGATACATTTATTACCTTTATCTAGATTGGAGGATATTACCTCGTTAAGAAAATGAACAGCATCATTTGTCGAACGACTGTGTCTAAAGCCAAATTGAAAGTTTGATAGAAGATTGTTTCGTTCAAGGTAATTCAACAACCGGCTATTGATAATTTTTTCCAGAAGCTTGGAGAATGTAGGTAATATTGATATAGGTCTATAATTATTTACACTTAATTTATCCCCAGTCTTATGGATCGGGCAGATTTGTGATGATTTAAATTATTATTTTTTGTGCAATTTCGTAACTTACCTTTCACTAACGAAACTACCATTCCAGCAGCTGCCATACTGGGGCGTTAATATCTCACCTATTTATATCAATCAAAGTTTATGGCAACATTCGATCGTTGTCAGACTAACCGTGAGTGTTGCCATTATGCAATCCGGGTCCTCGTACTTGGCGCTGAGTACGTACAGCGTGCGCGCGTACTCCACCACTTGGCTCGACCACAGCCGCTGCTGCACCAGACCGCCGAGGGTGTACGTTATGTTCCATTCGTTCTTGTCTTGTTTATGAATCTGATGCGAATGATCCTGCCAGAATTAAAAATAAAATACCCAAGTAAATATATTATCCTGTGTCAATCGAACACAAGCAAATTTTTTGATGGAATATCATTATTAAAATTCATTTCATCTTGAGTTATCTTAAAATGATAAATTTTATCTTGAATCTAAATAGCATCTTTTGATATCTTAAGATGACATCTTGATCTACGAAATGTATATTTCGTATCGCTTGGCATCTTAAGATACATTAATATGAAAATATTATCATATTAGCCGTGTGCCATTAGAATGTATGACGAGCGATATTTTATCTTAAGATATATTATAGTATCTTAACTGACTGTTTCGACCTTAAGTACAAAATAAATTATTATTAAGCGATGTGAACATTTTCTTGTTAACACATCTTTTACAGACTATCAAATATAAAGAAACTGTTACGTCACAACAGCTATTATATTACACTAGCCATACGCATCTAATTGGCCGGCGACGACGAAATGACGTCAAATAGTACAGTCTCATGAAAATATACGCCTCACGACGTTCTGTTTGATTATCTGAAGTTGTTTTGTTATGTAAATATAAGAGATGATTTTCCGAGTACCTTCCTAATGTGATATTCGAGTATGATCCTGGGTCCAGCCCAGGAGCACAGAATGCATTGCATCCTCACATCCATGCCGATACGCTCCATGTAATCCTAGGAAGAGAAACCAAAGTTTAGATGACCTACCAAAATCTGTATCAAGTCTTTAGTTTCTACTTTTACTTCTTTTATTGATGGCTTATCTGCGTGTTTGGCACAATTCTGCCAATGTCAAGTGAATAAATAATTTCTACATGTAGAATGAAAATGAAATGAAGTCCGTATAAAAAGTAATTTGTACCCCAAATAGTGGCAGATCTAATAAATGACAGGATCTAATAAATTACAGTGACAGTTTAGTGTTTTTAATATAAGTCGCAATCTTACCCCATCTTGACTGATGATTTCCAGCGCATCTTCAACCATTTCGGGAATGTTCGCCTGCTGAGAGCTGGATCTATCCAAAGATGAAGTAGATGTACTGAAATCTGAAATAAGAGACTCATTAAGTCTAAGCGAAGGGTTCCTTAACGAAAACGAGCAAAAAATCGCGTTTGTTGTTTGGGAGCCGTCTTATATATTTATTTTATTCTGTTTTTTAGTATTTGCTGACAAAGCGGCAACAGAAATAAAACACCTGTGAAGATTTAAACTGTCACACTATCACGTTTTACGAGATACAGCCTGGTGACAGACAGACAGCAAAGTCTTAGTTATAGGGTTTCCGTTCTACCTTTTAGGTACGGAACGGAGTCAGTAGTAGGGGAGCCCACGATGCTAAATCGGGATTTACTCGAGCGTCATAGAGACCTATTGGGTTGCGAAGCTTAGATGATAACAAAAAAAAAAATTTCATATAATATATACCTTTTCATCGGTGGGGGAAGCGGCTATAGATTTTTAAAAATGTAAAAAAATCTGTTGTATGGACATACTCGAGCGCGTCAGATATTAATATCATCCATGTCCTACGCATTTTTAAAAACTGTCGTATGTTAATCTGATCGTTTCCATGATGGGGGTGGTTATACGTAAGGGTTTAAAATGAAAAAAAAATTATTTTATCGAGCGCGTCAGATTTTTTGAGGGGATGTCAAGTGAACCTAAAAAAAAGCTCTCATATAATAATCTGACGATTTGGATGTGACGCAAACGCGTGACCATTATTAGAATGTGCAAAAAAAAAATCGCCATTTTGAAATACTCAAGCGCGTCAGATTAAGATATATATGGTTCATCTTTATGCCCCAGACGTGATATCTCATAATCTGACGATTATCTAAAGGGATTTTACTTAAACTGACACAAAACATTTTTTTTTTAATTTTTTCAAATCATTGAGCTTAATTAAATAGAAAAGCACCGGAGTTAGCATGCAAATAAAAAAGTGTATGTTTTTGTATGTAAAATACTTATATTTATAAGAAAATGATTATATGAAAATTGAATTTTTACAGTATTTTTTATTAATTATCATCTTCATCGCTAGAATCATCTTCCTCTTCTTCTCTTAAAATAACAAAATAAGCAAAAACGTTGAATATACGATGTAAACAATATCACGCCACGAACGAGTCTGTGTCATCAGCTGTCATGGCGTCATTGCAACCGAAACCAGAGTGGGGATGGAATGCGAGAGTAATAGACAGAAAAAGAGAGAGAAATAGTGATGCGGAGAAGGAAATATAGGTATCACGTAGCTTAAACGCATTAAATCTTATCGATGAATTTTTATTACATCGGCTTGTGACAATCGTCAGATTATATATTTTTCGTAAACCTTGAATGATTCCCTTCAAAATAAAAAAAAATTAGCCACGCTCGAGAATGTCAGTGACGTTTTTTTTTACAACTTTGTAGCCTTCCCCCTTCTTTACGTCACTCTCAAATTGTCAGATTAGAGGTGTGTACACCTTTTAGCATGTAACTAGCTCACCTTACCTTAATCTGACGCGCTCGAGATTTTCAGATGATCAATTTTTTTTACTAATCTGATCCTTCGTCCTTGCCGGGCGGCCATTTTTATAGGGCTCATACTTGGTCCAGGTACTTAACTGGGTACAAGGTATCCCCATGTATATTAATCTGCCGCGCTTTAGTAAATCCCGAAATCCCCGCTTCGGCTCCCCTACTATAGAATATTTACTATAGAATATAGAATATTTATTTTATTGTGTTTAGCATTCATGACATACAGCTGGTGACAGACGGACAACGGAGACGTACACTCGTATCTATATGCATTTTCCTATACTGTTTGGTACTATACTTTTTGATATACAACTAGACCGCTGGATTTCATGACATTAAAAAGGGGAAAAAAAAAGTTTTCTTAAATTTTTCTATGTTTATTAAGAGATTTACAAAATGCGTCTGTTTTATATATTTATCGTGTAGCAAAATAATATTATATGTCCATGTAAGCTTACCTTCTAAGGAGTCATTCCCGGAACAGCGTCTCATACCCAAATCTTGGTCATGCATCGCGAGAAAATCATATATCCTTGGCATGTCTGTCTCATTACTGCCCTGACTATCCCGCTCGCACGCTACAATTTAAATGAAAAGTTCAAATTAAAAAATAATATGAACCTTTTTTATTAGCTTATAGAAATTATTAATATAGGCTAAAGGATTGTTAAACGAAAGAAATGAAGTATAAAATAAAAAAGTAAGAGATATTTTATATCCATTATGTCGATAGCCATAAATCATACATTAACAAGCCCTTTTATAAAAAGCAAATTATAATAAAATAAATCTATAATAATATATCGATTTACATTAAGAGTAAAAAGCGTAGATGAAAGCGAAAATTCATTCAAAATAATTCGGTTCCTTACAAGTCACAAAAGGTTTACTAAAACGGCCTTCTTAAATCCAATGTTTTTGGAAAACATATCCAACTATGAGGAACCACACTATGAGGAAGACGAAAAAAAAGTAGCCAAAGAAGCGCTACTGGCGCCGTAGCCAAGGCATCAGAAGCACGGATTCCATTTTAAAAAAGGTATACCTACATATAATAATTGTGATCGAAGTTGCTGATAACCGTGCTCTGCTCGGTTTTTTTTTTTATATTTTTATATGAAACCTATTAGCTAGATGTGCATACAAAATTTCATGAATATAGGGATGACGACTTATTTTTGTTTGTTTGTTCGTCAGGTAGTGTTAAAAAATATTAAACACGTATTTTTTTCGTAATCATAAAATTACGGCGTTACATGGAGTTGAACTTTCGCATGACGTCACGTTATGGTGGGTATGTTCCGATATACACTGCGACCACTGAACAGTATGACGTCATTTTAGTATACTGGAAGCCCGTTCCTTTATAGCTAGTTATACTGGTGACTTTTTAAAACGGAACGCAGTCCAGTATACTGTTAATCCTATTTTGGCGCCATTTTCAAATTTGTTAATGCAAGGTGAATATAATATAAAGATTCCCTTTTTTCAAAAGAAAATATTATAAAATTGGAAAATTGTATAAAAAAATTATTTATCAATCAAATCCATCTTATAATAAACGTAAGTATTTTATTTTATCTGTTTCGACTGATCACGTGGTCAAAAGCACTGCGAGTACTGCACCTCGAAATCTCCAGTGTGACAGTACAAATATGGCGGCAATTCATGACGTCATAAATTTCCCTACGGTACTGTAGCAGTATACTGGCAGTCCATAACGAAACGGATTTTTCAGCAGTAAGATCATTGCGCAGTGCTCGCAGTGTATATCGGAACATACCCGGTATGTTTTCTACTAAACTGTGACGTAGCGAGCCCCCACTCCTCAACTTTAATGCCTGTTATCTAAGCTATTTCTTGTTAAATTGAAGTAAAAAAAAAATACGTATCTAATATTTTTCTATTATCTGACTGACGGACTAAATAGAATTGCATTTTTATTTACCCAGACATCAGACTGACGATATACATATAAGAATTGCTCCTTTAAAGTTATTAGATAGATAGATTATGTGAAAAGAAAGCATGAACTTACGGGACACATAGTATGCGTCGCTGGTATCTGTCGACGCTTGCGCCATTCTGAAAGCGTGCGTGATGCATGATGCGTGCCGTGCAAGCGGAATAATAAACCTTCACAACTTCAAACAAACTACTTTTAAAAAGGCTTTTTTTTTAATTCATTTTCTGTTCTTTTTGCGCATTTCCGTACTGTTTTATTATACCAAAGCGTAAAGTACCCAGCACGAAAGTAGACCCTACTCAATAAACGAAATTAGGGTACGAAAGAGCTGAAGTATGCGGGGGGAGAAACTTAATCATAGCAACAGGGCCTGTGTCATCTCGCGCTTGACGTTTCCCTACTAATTCACTTCTCGCCATTAGCAACGACAAAATTCAGTATAATAAAAAACAAGAGATTAAATTTTTTGAAATTGGATATTAAAGACATCAGCAATAATATGCTTTAAAGAACACTTCTATTATTTTCTTCCATTATTATTAACATTGTAGTGACTTGTAGGTCGTGTTGATGTTGTTAATCGGCAAATGACGTTCTAAATTGGTATATCCCTTGTTATAATAAAGATTTATTTATTTGGTTTAAAAAAAAATTCTTTTAAAAATAAGTGTTTTACGTTTGTAATTTTTACCCCGATTATACCTGCCCAATGGATATCATATTGGGTTTACTTTCGTGCAGGGCACTGTATTTATTTTGTAGTTCCCTGTATATATACTTTACTCTTTGCGTAGTACTATTAGTGAGCTCGAGCGTGCATGATAACCAGTGGTCGGAATTAGGTAGAGTTATTCATGTACTTACACTGATTTCATACAGCGAAAGAATAAAGTGGATATGCCTCAAATCCCGAGATTAATTTTAAAGAGCAGAAAATCCCGTGATTTTTTAAATAAAAAGTTATTTACTTTTACACAATTTAAACTACTGCACGCACGACATTGCCAAACTTACATCAATGAAAGAAAGAAATAAAGAAATCCCGGGAAGGTCCACATTAATATCAACATTTCGATGCAAGTACATAAATAACTCTACCTAATTCCGACCTCTGATGATAACTTATTGATTGCGTGTCTTAGTATCGAACATAGATGTAAATTTTTGTATCGGTACTCTTTCACGGAGATATCTACAGTCAAGTGCACGTCAGGTTATACAAAACTAAGAAATTTGACGTGTTGTGGTAACCTGACGTTCAGCCGTGTGGACCTACTAACATTTTATATTTCTGCTTGATATGAATACATATTGTAACATACAATTTCCTTTCTAATGCATAATGTATACTTTAGGAAACATACAATATAAAAATTACAAAGAACGCTTAATAAATCAGTACTTTTATATGGGCAATCATAATCATACAAACCCAACTTGGTATAGATAATGATTCAAATAATTGTGTTGATGATTGTGAAGGTTTTATGTTATGGTTAATCACACGAAAAATAAAAGACACAAATAAAAACGTTTATGGAAGAAAAAAAGTTAATTATCAAGGATAGGTAAGCATTAGTGGCAAACAAAGCTATTTGATATACACAATAGCACATCAATCTCTACAATAGATTTTTTATCTAATAGACAATTTATTAAGGTTGAAAATCGTTTATAGATTGGGATAATTTGATGTGCTATGTATGTACCAAAACAAACATATATAACAGATGCAAATAAATTATTAGTTTAAATAGACAGACTATAATGATGAAGAATGATATCTTTAAAATATATCATTTATAATTATTGATAATTATATCACAAATAAACGTCCAACCATCATTGGTTTTGAACTGGTGAATTTGAATTTTTTAATTACAAGATGTCCTGTCTCCTGTGGTAAAAGTGTAAACTTATTTGAAAAATCAAGAAGATATATACCAATTTTTTCCAGTCCAGTGTTGCTATATCGATTAATGAACAAAAAGCAAATTCAAAAGTCAGAATCCTGATTTCTTACGTGTCTGTGTATTCTGTGTATTGTTTAAGTAGCATTTACATAACAAGGCAATCTGTTTTGTTTGCTAACTTACGCGGTTGCGATGGCTGGCATGCTGTAAACGCATTTGGTGGCAGACGTGGTGGCTATCTGCAGAAGTGGTTGGTTCGTTAAGAACTGATTCTTGAAATTATAAAAGCCTTCCAACATACTAGTATTGCTAGCTCTGGGCACTAACAACGGGTAATTCAGTACTGTAAATGAAAAAAGAAATCAGAAAAATTGTTTGCATAAATCTTTAGCTTCAATCCATTTATATTTACGCTATCTATCTATATCTACACGCTGTATCCCTTGCGGGATAGGCAGAACAGCGAACGCCACAAACGGTTCCACATTTATCTTTCGCCTCATCCACTGTATTAGTCTTTTCATACATACATTACACCTTCTAACAGGACGAAATTGAATTAATCGTGAAAGATGTGCCGTGGCCTTCCTTGGCTTCTGCATACTTCCACTTTCGCGTTGCATATCAGTTTTGTCATTTATTAGTCCGGCATTCTTTCTACATGTTCGAACCAACGGGAACCAGCACGCGTAGCATGACAAACTCGAGAAACGCTTTGTCTACACCCAAATGTCACTTTTCTCGGGTGCGCTCATACAACATCTCACTCTCAACCCGAAAAAGTGACATATGGGTGTAGACAAAGCGTTTCTCGAGTTTGTCATGCTACACGTGCAGCTCTGTTGATTTTATAATGATGCTATCTTTCAGATCAACTCTCTTTCTTAATTTCTCTCTTTACTTCGCCAATGTCACTCATCATCAACAAGTCTATTAATGTCCCACTGCTGGGGCTCAAGCCTTCTCTATGGATGGCATCGAATAGGAAGAATGGGTCATGACCTTTCACGCGGGAATAATGTGGTTTGGTGGGTATTCACGACTGCAGATGCAGGCAAGGTCAACGGTCTAACGTGCCTACCGAAGCACGGAGGAGTTCGAGATAATAAATATACCCATCCTATGAACGACCATTGCGACAGTTGCTTAACAACCGTGTTTTAGATAGAGCGCGCTTTCACTCATACTAATCTTTAAATTTTGTGAATAATACATTTGTAACGCCAGCTTGAAGACGCAGTGGTTAGGTCTACGAATGCGAATAAACAACTTCGGCTAGTCACGTGATAGTGATAAAAAAATTTATAATCCCTTAAAGGAAAACATATTATTGTGTTGGTCTCAACTGCATCAGCAGTCGTTAACGCTCACAAACCCGGAGTAGACTGTGTTCTGTACCTTCTGAAACGCACATCAGTATCTTGAATAGGTAATTCTTAAAAGTACATTTACTCATATCATCATCATCATCACCAGTCCTTATACGTCCCCACTGCAGGGCTCAGGCCTTCCTTATGGATGGTTAAGGAGCATGGGCCATGACCTTCCACGCTGGCTCAATGCGGATTGGCGGGTATTAACGACTACAAGTGCAGCCGGGACCAACGGCTTAACGTGCCTTCCGAAGCACGGAGCAGCTCAAGATAATAATTTTTTGGTCACCCATCCCGTGACCGACCGTTGCGAAACTTGCTTAACGACAATGATCGCGTGCCGCGGCGCTTATCCACTACGCCACCGAACTACTCACCACATATAATTGTATATATCACCCTCACATATACTGGTTATATAACCAGTCACCATTTTTATAGCCAGTATCATTTAATACACCATTTCAAACAAAGAGATTGTACACAATAAAATATGAAAACATATTATTACAAGAAGAATAAGGGTCACGAATAATGTTGCCAGGTCCAATTTATTATTAATCGGGACAGCGCGTGTAATTAATCGGGATTTGGGGTTGTAAATCGGGACAGACAAAAAACAAGTATTAGTACTAGTTTGGTAGCTTTTTTGCTTTCAGATATAGATAAATATAGTCAGGGGTTTTCAAAAATGGATTTGACAGTATGAAAAAAAAAAATATTTTTTTTATAAAAAAAATTGATTTTTGATTTTTCGGGACATTTAGCGTCCCGATTAGGTACAAGTCGGGACGCGTCCCCGGACCCCTGAAATTCGGGACGTCCCGCGTAAATCGGGACACTTGGCAACACTAGTCACGAACCATATACTATTAGTAAAGAGTCTTACATCTTTCAGATTCATCGCCTACTTGTATATAAATAGGCTGGGTGATGTCCTTGTCATGTGCATCACTGAACTTGCTGAAAACCTCATTGATTCTTGGTAACCTTTGCTCCTCCAAATTATTCATATCTTTTTGTATGCTCATCCTTCTTTGAGACCTGATCTGTTCTCCTCTAATCTTCTTGTGGTAATATGTCGAGGACTGACTATACTCATTTTCTTTAAAAGCCTCATTAGATGTATCAAAATAATTAAACCATTTTTGACTGCATGTAGGCAAATATTCTAAACTAGTCATATTAGGGTACTGCATATTATTAAATGTCTGTTGAAGGCTGGACTCTGTCTCCATGTTCTGAGAGTCTATGTTCGAATTGATGAGATCTTGTACAGTCAAATCAATATTTCTACATGTCGGACCACTAGGTTCATTGTTCAAAGATTTTTGCACTAACGCATTTATTTTAGTCGTTTTGCCATCGGTTCGCCGAAAACTGATGCTTTGCATGTATTCATAGCTTACTTTTGGTGTTGGTTCTTTGGTGGTTAATGGATAGATCCCACTAAGCATTCTCTGTCGTTTTGCTGGTACTACTGTCGGCGTTGATTTCTAGAATTAGAATTTTTCAACATTAAATATCTAGTGAAAACTTATAAATAAATATTTATTAACTATTATTTAAATATTTTTTAGCCCTGATTCTACCAGCTGAAAATTTTATCATAAGAAAAGAAACCCCTAACAGACTTTAATAAAATTCTCAAGATAATTTAAATTACAGTAATTTAAGTTGAGATTAAAGTTATTAAATTACTATTTTTCATTTTGCTAACCCCTTCAACCTTTCAATCGAAAGTCTCGTAGTAAGTATATAACAAAATCATGATTCAATCACTAAATAATCTGACATTAGTGAGCATTTTCTGCCAGTGATTTTTCGATATATGTCGGTGAGTATTTATTTCTCATTTTGTAAAAAAATGACCATTGTGATTTATTAAAAAGATTTAATTTTAACTCAATAATATACTATTTGTTTGTAAAACACTTAGAAAACCAAAATTTTTTAAAAGTGTTACAAGCTATAACACGTTAAGTGCTGCTGTACTAAGTTTAGTACAATGGGCACTTGACATGTAACGTGAGACAGTACAGTGCAACTGTTTATAATCGTTATATTACTCATAATATCTCAATAACGAACCTTTAAGTGGCATCATTATCAGACGATAAGAGGAAACTAGGTATCTAGAAATTATAAAATGGCTATTCGACGTACTTTTACGAAAAACAAAGTAGTTTTACTATGAATAACACCATCAATTGAGATAGTAATGATTATGCTGCTACCCAATCCAGATGTTGTTACAAATGAAAAATGTGACTGGTGACATGCATAGATGTTGTAATTCACGATACATCTACTTTTCAGAATGTAATGGTGTGAGTGGTCATCATAATTAGTTTTCCAGTTTTCTTATTTACAACATTCTGTCATCTTATAATCTTACAATGTGGCCAAAACAAGACGAAGTGGAACTAAAGCTGAGGAGGATTTTTGCCAAAATGTATGACTATTTACTAAATTTCTTGACTAACGCAGATCTAATATCTGTTACAGAAACATAAGTCTCAGATATAATAAAACGTTTGACACTTGCAAAGTTTTAGAACTTTTCAATGATGTAGTGCTAGAACTTATTGCAACTCAAAAAATACTGTATACGATGTACAAAACTGCTGTCATGATAAGGTTTATACAAAAATAATATTTGAAAATTCCAAGTCCATCTGGTCTTCGAATTTTCAAATATTTCCAAGTCTGGATATCATAAATTATCTAGATAAAGGTCATTTTGAAATTTCGATAATGATGTTGGTGTGCCACTGGTTTCAGAATGCATGACCAGAAACAGAAATTTGAAAACAAAAAGTAGTCTGCGTTTTACATTTAACACATTGGCTAGTTCCCCTACGGATAAGACGTACAAAAAGTGTTCCACTTTATTGAGATCTTACAAAAAATTGTGTCGAATTGTTATATGATATGAAAATTTCTAGTTCATGGGATATTACAGTCTTATGTCAATCCTGAATATTATACAGATCAGCTTGTATTGCGAGACATAAAACACGCACATATTTGAGTAACATAAGGCAATACAACCATCCATCATTCAAGAACAAGTTAGGAAAAACAATGTTCATTATTCTCAAAAATATACTAATATAACATAGACTGTGTCCTATTTTTCAACAGAATTAAAAGAGCGTTGGAAAAGTGACGAATAACGTCGTGTTTCGATAGAATATACTTTTTTCGGTATCCCCATAAGCGCCCATTGTACTAAACTTAGTACACCTCTAAAAGTACATCTTATAATTTTTTTTTAAATTTTTTCTTTGTAATATCAAATAATAGGTGATTTGAAAACAATATTAAGAACTGGTTCACTAAAATCTTTGTACTGGTTATTTTTGCCTGAAAGTTTTACAATCTAGATTATTTTTAAAATCCTCAAATTCTAGTTATATTCTTAACTTTGTCATGACAATTATATCGAAAATAAATGTCGGTTAACACAAAATGGCCGCATAATATAGTCAGGGAAAACGGTTTAACCGCCACTTTATTTCGCTGATCGGTGCGAGCAAAAGGCTTTAAGTACTACTTTAATTGTCTTTCTAGTTTGGATAAATGCTTTAACCAACTATCCACTAATTCAATAGAATAAACCTATTTGGCTGAAGAAGCAAAAATTTTCATTTCAGGGTCAAATCATAACAGCTTAAGCAACAATTTAAAACAAAAGCAATTGTTTTAAATCGCATTTGTTTGTATAACTTTATTATGAATGGCGAATGATACCATGCAATTTATTTCTCATTTTAAAACTTCAATCTTAGTGGAGATGGTTTTTTATTAAAATAAAAGAAGATCTCTTATAAAATTATTTATTGAAATATTCTCAAACATTCTAAATCAACAACTTAGTATTTATGTTACAAACTTCAGCATATTTAAACGTTTTAATTTAGTTTTTTGGCAGACAGAAGCATTAAGGTTTTAATCGACGGTGAATGCTCAGACCTACTGTCTATTAATGCTGGTGTTCCCCAAGGATGTGTGCTATCACCTACACTTTTTCTTCTGCATATTAATGACATGCTGCAAATTAGCGGTATTCATTGTTATGCGGACGACAGCACGATGGACTCCTTCTATAACGGTCGTGCAGGTATTTCTCGGGAAAGCGTCATTGAGAGCCGGAATCAACTTGTGTCTGTTATTGATTCTTCGTTAGAGGAAGTCTCTAACTGGGGTCGACTTAATTTGGTCCATTTCAACCCTAATAATATTGGTGGGTCACTATTTATTTGACATTGTAGTTCTGGCTTTTCAGTTTCCTTAACTATGGTAGTTTTTCTTCATTTAGAAAGATTTGTGGTGGTGTCTGAAAAAATAATTATTAATTATTATAAAATACTTTTATTACTAAGTATGTTAAATGCCTAAGTAAAAGAAACAAGTTCTTATCTTAACAAGATTTGGCGCACACAAACACTCGTTTTCACGGTTCACGATAGGCTGAAGCGCCCGCGCGAGGGGGTGGGGTATTTATACCGGCGCGAGTTAAAGGCGCCGGCATCTAACGGCCATTGTTTGATCCGACGTTGCAAAATTATCACATAGTGATATTTGCATGTATGAACGGACATAGATATCACTATTTTGAGTTTCGATAAGTGCTTCAAGTAGCACCAAGTAAACTTGAGATGTGTTTGACCGACACTCAATGAGATTCTAGAGTGCGGATAACTCTCTGGAACGACACGCTAGTTAAGTTTAGCATTCAGACGATAATGATTTAAACAACATGCTATCATGAAAAAACATAAAGGAAAAAAGGTTGAAGCGCCGTGTTGTATATTTTTAGGTAAAGGCTAATTGTTTTAACCAACAGCCGTGTTGATTTTTATGAAAAGCAAAATGTATTAAGCGACAGTCACCTCTAACAAGTAGTGGCAGGCAAAACGCTTCAACGCCGTGGAGTATTTTAATTGAGAAAACAAAAACAGTTTAAGCGGTTTTTTGTAAGATATATGTGTGGTTCATATCCATAGCCTCTAAAATTTTATTGATTTTTTGGCGTTTAATACATCATTTTTCTAAAATGAGGCCAAAGTGTTAATTGTTTTAAGCGCCAAAAAAGTCATCCGATCTTTACGGGACCCCTCTCATTCGACGCAGAAAAATCTGCCGATTCCAAAATGGTATATAACTCAATTTTGCCCTGGGTGGCGCTTAAAACAAATAGGCTTTCACCCCTCTATGTATTTCTATCAGTATTTTACACAAAAACTACACTCTTAAAAATATTCTTAATGAAAAATTCTTAAAAAATCCATTTTGTCCCTGCCACTCTGAGATTGGACCCCAATCCATGACCTTTTTAAGAATTTTTCATGAACAGACATTTTTCTGTGAATAGAAGACCAATTTTCAAAATTCTTTATTTTTATCCCGCTACTCATGGATCTTTTTTTGAAGTCAGATCATTTAATAGTCTACAGAAAAACTTCATACAACTTTTATAGCAATTTCTCGAATAATTTTACCACTTGCAAGATAAGTATTTTTCTCACTTTTTGAAAAAATATAAAAACAGTTTTAAGTTTTTGCAAAACAAAGAAATTTTATAGTTGGTTGAAATTCAGTCCTGTTTAGGTATTTGGTGCTATATATACTTATTTTATATTGAGAGAAGACATATATAAACAAGAAAAAGATACATTACCATCATGGTAGCTGGGAAGGATTCTATAATTCCAATAATAGATATTAATAAACTAAAGAAAGAATGTAATTATTATGTGTACTTACTATCTTGTCTTGAACAGCAACTAGTTGTGCTCTGGACTCATTTGCTAAACCTAAATCAGAGTAAGATTTTTGCATGTATACAATGGGTGTCTTCCCCATACACTTGGCAGTGACATTAACTTTACAATATAGATCACCCTCGCTAAATAGATTGATTCTGGTTTCTTGAGGAGCAGATCTTTGTCTTTGGGTGATAGCTGGTCTTAACATCTTTGAATTTTGAGTTTTAATTGCTTTCAGCAAATCACTATTTATATTTGCTTGGGATGCATGTGATTTGATGTTGAAACTCCTCAAGACTCTATCACTGCTGGCAACTGCTCTCAGTGAAGCATATGTCTTCTTAAGATGAGGAGAATGTAGTAAGTTTGGATGTGCATATTTCATAATCGTTTTTCGGCCATTGGGGCTGCATTGAATGACAATATGACGGGGTGGACATTTTGGGGTGTTAGTTATTGGTGGTGATAATGTATTGCTTGTGGATGATATTTCTGTTCCCTAAAATAATAAAGAAATATAAATAAAAAGGCAATGTTACATAAATCTTTTGGTCACTACAACTAATGCTTTGCTTTTGTATTTATATGTTGCATTGTAAAATGTGAATAGAAATTAAAGATTAATTTATATTATAATTAGATTCCAAGATGAGCAGCTATATTATGGAGTATCCAAGACAACAAAGGTACCACAACACCCAAACCCAACACTAAATAGGCATAAAAGTTTTCTACATTGACCTGATAGGGAATCGTAACCAGATATGGCGACACCTTAAAACCAGCATTTACAAAACTCCATAGTAGACTATGGAAGGAAATTTAGTTAGCTATTTACATTATCTCTCAATCTCACGCTCGAGATTCCTCATTACACAACAAATTTCATTTCCTAATCCTTTTAGTGCTGTACAACTTTGAAATTCTCTTCCTGATTCTCAGGAAAGCTTGTTCACTCAACTCCTTCAGCAATCACATTAAAAGTCATTTCCTCTCTTTATTGTAAAACACTCTTCTTTAATTAATATATATTATTGTTATAGAACTGTTTAATTTTTTTCTATATCTATATTGGTATTTTTTCATAAGATGTATCTGCATTTATATTTAACGTTCCAAAGTTTGCATCCACTCCCCCACAGTATCCCCATAGTTCAAATTACTTCTTTCATGAAGAGTAATTTTAGCAATAAGGCCGCCTTTTTCTTTCTTCTTCTCTTCTTAATGTGAGGTTGTTGTTTATTGTAAATTGTTTTATTATTAGCGTCTACTATTATTGTTATGAGAATAGACCTAATTTTCTCCCTGTTCCTTGAAGAATAAAGGAAGGGGAAGACACCCTTCGGCCATAGAGATCAGACAGCCATGGGTTAGGGTGATGGAGAGAGGAACTAAGAGGCGTCATTCTGGCGTTATCAAGCAACACAGGAGTTTGCATGTCACCCGCGACATATCGGTAAACTGCAGGTTCAGATATTTAAATTTATTATCTGATTCGGCTTTCAGGAGGTTTTTGTCGAAGGGGATAGGGACATCCACTGAGAACACATGTGACTCTGCCTGGTCCATCAGCACAATGTCAGGCTTGTTGGCAGTATCCTGTCTGTAATGATTGAATGGTCCTAGTATAATCAAGCACAGTCAATTTTCAGCACTGGCTCTGGCACATACTTATAGTATGGTACTTATTCACTTTACACATTAAACTTGGAATATTTTGGTGCAGGGTTTTGTCTCGACTCTCTGTACTATCAATATTATTACAATTAAACAAAATATATTTTTGTATTATCAATTTTACATTAAATTATAGGCCCGTACTGCAAATTTCTTGCTTTTTGTTGTCCTTTTGTTGTCATAGAAACAGTATACTCGAGGAAGGAAACAGCTTTCATTAAACCGTTAACATAGTAACAATTTTTATTTTGTCTCCCTCACTGATGGAGGTTGGCAGAATTTATGTTTATAGCAGAAAAAGATCATGATATGACAATATAAGTTTTAATTTTAAAAGTATCTTTGTGAAAATAAAGAACTTTTGTTTAGCATGCTGACCAATTTGAAAGCTTTTTCAACACAGCCTTTGCTAAGGCTAAAAGTTTATAGTAGTGATTGCAATTACCTGCAAGTGTATTCGTTTTCTTATATTTTTTCGCACCTGAGACAGTTGTCGACGTTCAAGTTTCACTCTTTGAACAATGTTTTCCACTTCTTCGGCAGTCTTAAATTTTTTGGCATGAATCATTTCAATTAAATATATTTTCTATAATATTTCAAAACTTTGATTAAAAGGGAACAAATCACAATTAATTTGATTACACATCAAGTTGATAAGTTCAATTTAGCCCAATTTATCATTTTACATATAAAAATGACTGGCCTCATGATTACTATTTTTAGAAGAAATCATAAATTTTTAATTTTACCAGTCATTCTATAAATGTGCAAACATACTGGAAAAACATGTGCTTGCGTGTCTTGATATATATAAAATAAACTAATAAAGATGTAATAAAATTACCTTAACGTTAGAAGGAAGACTTAAAGATTTAGCCAACTGCTGTAAATCTCTGTAGGAACGACCTCCTAGGTCGCCCAAAGAAAATTTCGAGTCGCCCATAATAATAATAAGTGTTGTATATTTCTAAAACTTCCAAACGCACGCACGTGGTAAAGTGGTTTGTAAAAATACTATTACATTCACTTGACATAAATGGGATCACATTGATAAATTACCCTCGATCTTTAACAAAAACAAAAGTTAATAAATTGCCACCACTTAGTTTGAAATTATTTTACAAACAAACAAAATCAAGGCGGTTTATTTTGATTTGACAATGTTCTGCGTTTTGTTTTTTACGGCAGTTTTTTTCGGATATACTATTAAATAAATACTCATAATAAAATATCCCAAATATAAATGTTATAAAAAAGAAATTTGTGTTTTCATGTCAAGTAAGGTATAATACTTAAATTAGCAACGACACTATTAACATAAAAGAAAATTCCGTAATATAGCGTCACATATCATACATAACATAAACATTATTAGAAAATAATTAATTATACCATACATATATTTTTTAAGAATAATACGATTTTTTTAAGAATACGAAGTGTAAATACCAAGACAGGAATAACGAAACGAAATAATTATTATGCGTTCTCTCTAATCAAAACTAGATGGCGACTAATGGTTGCAAGGGAAGTTATGTCTGTATATACAATAGATGGCAGGCAGGTGACAAACTATAAAGCCGAAATTAGAATAAGTAGTTATACTTGTTCCAGTATGTAGTTTGTTATGATATGATAAGTGTATATAATTTATTAATTTTAACGTCTTTAGATAAATTTATAATTCGCTGCTGCAAAGCAAACACGTCTTCAGAGTAGAATAACTATACCTATGTTTGATTACTACAGAAATAATATATTTTTATATAATTAAAGTAAATATTTATTCTGGTCTTAAGTTCAAAGAAAGATAAGTGATTAAATTGATCAACAAAGGTACAAAAAATTAGATATTCAATAGAAATAAACAGCTCCTCCATTTTAGAAATAGTTAAAAAAAAAAAGATAATTTTGATACTAGTCTCACAGATAGCCCAACCAAATGTGTCAAATAAAAAAACCCGCCCACCAACGTACCTACCTACTCAAAAAATAGACAAAATTTTAATTATGCTCATATCGTACTCAACTAAATTTTAACTTGCTACTATTACTTACATATCTGTGTGTTTAAGCGAATTTAATTGCTGTTGGGTATTGGATGGACTAATGAGATAGGGACATAGCTATGTATAATCTATTAAATATGGTTTGTAGGCAAGTTGTAGGTAGAAAAAAAAATTCTTTGTTTAATTGTAAATTTTTTAAACTAAGATTTGTATTTAGTTCCTATTATTGGAAGATGAACTGTGTTCCATTTTGATTCTTCAGTATCCATTATTCGTTTAAAAGGGTGAACTGGATTTGTGCTGAAATATAATAAAAAAATATTACTTACCGAGGTATATTATATTTTGATAAATTTTGCATTGCCTGACATGCATTGAGTCTCGTTACAATATACGAGGGTCAAACTGAAAGTTCTTAGAAAATCAAAAACAGATTACATTAGCCAGTTATTAGTTTTATTATATCTTTTCAAAATATTGTCCATTCACGTCAATACACCGCTGCATGCGATGGAACCACTGGGAAAAGCACTTTGCCCACTCGTCCTTAGGGGTCTCTTCAATGGCATCGCGATACGCAGCCACCGCTTCTTCAGCATTCATAAACCGCTTTCCTTTAAGTTTTTCTTTAGTTTTTGGAAATAAATAAAAATCACAAGGCGCGAGGTCGGGGCTATACGGCGGGTGACCCAGTAATTCAACGTTTGATGTCGCCAAATAGTCGATCGTTCGCTTGGCGGTGTGCGACGAGGCGTTGTCGTGGTGAAGGAGGATCCTACTGCGAGGTCGTTTCTCTCGAACTTTTTCCAAGACAAGTGACAAACAATTGGTAGTGTACCATTCTGCAGAAACTGTTTTTTGATCCTCTAACACAATTGTTGCAAAATGACCTATCCTTCCAAAGAACGAGGCCACCATTTTTTTTCCCGCACTTCGATCTCTCTTCACTTTAGTTGGCAACTCCTCGAAAGGAAACACCCACTGAGCAGATTGTCTTTTGGTTTTAGGATCATAACAGTAAATCCAGCTTTCGTCACCTGTTAGTATGTCGAACACAGCATTTGAGTCACCTCCGTTAAATCTTTCAATCATTTTACGACACCAATCCACACGATGGAGTTTTTGAGCCTCAGTCAAATTATGAGGTATCCACCGGGCGCAAAGCTTCCTGACCGCTAAATGTTCGTGGAGGATTTTGTGCACTTGACTCATACCGATGCCTAAGCTTGTCCGAATCTGTTGATAGGTCACTCTTTTGTCAGTCTCTATCATACGCCGCACAACACAGATGTTATCTTCAGTCGTCGCCGTAGAAGGCCGTCCCTCACGTAAATCATCAGTGAGATTAGTGCGACCACATTTAAACTCATTAAACCAGTTGTAAACAGTCGCACGAGATGGGGCTTCATCGTGAAAGGCCAATCGTAGTCTATCATAACTTTCTTGTTGACTTAAATGACATCGAAAGTCATAAAAAATCATTGCACGAAAATTTTCTCGTGTTAAATTCATGATGACGTGACACAGACAATTTTCAATTTGCCGCCAAATCGTAAAACAAATGACAAATGAATGAAATATATACTCAGTAATATTGGCAAAGAGTTATATTTTCAAATTTTAGAATTATTTTTTTATTATATTGTTTATAAGTGGCCAGTTCTAAGAACTTTCAGTTTGACCCTCGTATGAGCTAGTTAAAGTAGTGACTACAGGCATTTCTCGAAATAAATACTAACTAACCATTACGAATTAACATGACACCTGAAGGCGTATTCTATTCGTAAATGAAATGATTCCAAAGATACGCACTTTTATATAATTTATGATGCAACGGAGATACGACCTGACTCTGCCTCTCTGGTGCACAGATTATCTTCTTGGATATGAATTTAAGAAAATTATAAGAATGACTCCAAATTTTCCAATTATTTTTTCAGTTGCACATGATGAGAAGTATCATTAACAAATACCTACCTTTTACGAGCTGCCGTCTGTTTGTACCTGCTTCTCATAATGTCACTGAACGTTTCAGACTTCTTGATGAATGGCCAATCTTTACTTTCTGTGTCAGCAATACTACTTTCCTGATATAAACGTCCAGTGTGTAAGTAATACATAGATATAGTATGCCAGTCTGTGTATACGTCACAAAAAAATACTCTAATAAAAAATATGTACTGTATTTTTCAACAAAATTCTATTCTAATAGTTAAGATAAAAGAAAAAAAAAACAAACTTACGAGTGTGTTCTGATTGTCTTGAATCTGTTGGCACAGTGAGTTTCTGTAATCTATTTGTTTTTTCAATTCTTGGTTTGCGTTCTCCAACTTTCTTTGGAGTTCTTTGTAAGTAGATTTTGAGACACGATGCATTCTTTCTTTTCTCTCAATCCTTTCTTTAATTGCATCTTCTTTCAACTTTTCCAAATATTTCTGATAATCTTGTATGGCTTTCTAAAAAGGTTATGCGAAAAATAACATTTTTATAATTTTTCATAAACAGCGTAATACTTTAACAGCGTAGAGTTAACTGTCTTTTTAGGATATATTTAGTGTACTTACCTTATTTGAGCGATTTCGATACGATTCAATAATTATTGATGTAGAATTCCGATTTGTTAATATTGTTAATATTAAATTAAATTAACAATTACTCAAAAAGCCTATTGTTAGAAAGGAGATTTCCAGGAAGACAGAGGTCCTATAAGCGTCGATCTTTCCTTGATTGCTGGATGTCAAAAGCTGTAGATATGGGCTTTACGTGCCTTGCACAATATTCGGTTAAATAAAACATTCGTTATAATTAACAAATACTTAAACATCCTATTGCTAGAAAAGAGGATTTGCAGGAAGACATAAGTCCTTCCTTGACTGCTGGATGTTTAGAACTGTAGATATAGACTTAACGTGCCTTGTATAATATTCGGTCACCTATTTGAAGACTGGCTTTTACAAAAGCTATATAACTTCTGTAATCGTAACCTACTGAACAAGTTAACGTCTGAGCCATCTCACAACCTATTCACTTTTACATCAACTTACAATTTTAGCGTTTCTTTTCTCTATCTCAATTTGTTTAAAGAATTTATCCGCCTTTTGGTCCTCTTGCTGCTTCCACTCTTGAGCAATCTTATCACCTTCTGTTTCTAAATCTTGTGCTATTTTTCTTTCCCGGTTAAAATTCTCTGTAAATAGTTCCTCTTCTCTTCGCCAGTTTAACTGGAAGAATAAAATAAAAGAATTGATGACTCTTAATATTTGGATGCTATCTTGCAGGTAACTTGCAAATGTTACTTCGGGAGTTGTTAACAGCATTACATTTCGCTGGACGGTTTTACTTTCTGTTATTCAATTTCGAAGGCTTAAGTTAGGCTCAATTGAAGATACCAAATCGTATGATATAACGATACAAACAAATTTATATTCAAGTTCATAACGGATTCGTAGACTTTGAAGTATGCATCCATTCCGGAGTCCTAAGGAGCAACACCTTATAAATATAATAACTAATAAATGGGTAATTTATACTTAGGTCTAGGACACATCCATGATTTACGATGATGATTTATGATGACTTGTCTTGTAAAGAGAAGCACTAACTGTTTTGTCGCGAGTGCTTCACTTTTTTTTGTAACCGTTTTAAAAGATTACAGATATCCCGCATCCATTGTATGTTACGTGGTAGACAGTGATGTCGGTCGATCTCAACATCTAAACCCATGTGTGTTTTTAAAAAATAGGCACAGTGCAAAAGTCAAATAATTATGAATGGTTGATAACGTTATTACATTAGTGAATGTTGCCCTGCAATTCACTTTTTGCCAAGTTGTCAAACGTTATTCTTCGTTTTATAGATTTTGTTAGTTGGCGTTATTGGCTGGTTGCTGTGAGCAACATTCAACTGGTGACCATAACAATGTTTTCGTATTTCATAACGCTGTATCATTAAAAGTAACCGCTGTTTAGATGTACCATAACATTAAATAAACTTTGCCAAATGTTTAGGTTAAGTTTTAATGCACAAAACAAATGAAATTTTGCACTGGTCTCTACTTATTGACCTCTAATGGAACAAAAAGAGGCATTTTCGATAGCCTTATTATTTTGCCATGTTCATCGATCGGTAGAGCATAGAACGGAACTCTCAGTAATCGAATGCGTCTCGCACTTGACTGGATATTTTTAAAGAAATTTAGGCAATTATCATATTTCTTTTTTAATTTTAGCTGTTTTGTTAATTAATAATTAGAACTTTGTAGCATTTTTTATTTTTATTTTCCAACCTTTTTTCAGCTTTGGATTGGGGTGTGCGTGTGTACTAGGTTTCATATACTTGCTTGACACAAAGACGGAGTTAATATAATCACTCCTTAGAAATATCATTGTGATCCAGTATGTATGATCCTCTAGCCTTTATGTTTAGCCAGCCGCTATATCCTGCCTTTGCCTCAAATAATGAAAGGTCTGGTCCTGTAGGTCAGAGGCTGCCAAAGCTTTATAACATATATCATATTATCATCGTCAGCCCATCAATTTCTGCTTTGAAAACATAAGCAGACCACTCTCATTTTTATTTTTGGTGGTAAAATTTATTACCTATATAACGTAACCTTCAGTTTTTAATACTATTACTTGCGTGGGAAGTAAGTAACTGACAGTAATTATGCTTTGAACTTTTTTCGTATAAAAGTCAACCCAGTACGTAAACTACAAAATTTATGAATAGGTTTGAATGGGTTTTGTTACTAACAAACGGACACGGGCAAAGTGAAGGTGTATTTTAATAATGTTTTGAATAAATTCAGCTTAAGATGACGATTGTTGAAAATTAAGACTAAGTTTAGTATGACAATCGAGGGCCGAGACATTAGAGAATTTACAAAATAAAATTGTTCAGAATAATTGATCACCGACAAAATGTTGTACTGATAAGTATTGCTCTTACCATATCGTTTCTCTTCCTGAGCTTCTCTGTTTTTAATTCCTGCATCGCTACTCTAATCGTATGATTATCTATTTCCCTTTCTTTAGATTTTTCTTCAATCTTCCTGAGTGCCTTAAGTTTGTGCCCCTCAATAAAGTTTGCTTTGTTCGACATTTGTTGTGCTCTTTTATTTTTCTCTTCTGTAACATCAGAACTAGCTTAGTTTGCTGTTTGAAACGTGTGAAGACACCCTCTTTTATAGTTTCTCACATGTAACAAGGATGTAACCTAAAAGTTATTTTGTCAGTTCCTGGATGACATTATAATTTTAACCTAATTACTTGGAATTTCGATCTAAGTACACAGTCAAGCGGGCACGGGCTATATGCCAGTCATTTTATTTTCAAGTCTTTATTTCCTAGATAACGTTAAAAGTGGTGTTTTTACTCATTTCAAAGATCAAGGTGATCATGGAGTTGGTTATGTATTTAAAAACTAAAATAACTGTTTGATAAAAAAAAAATATGTCATTCTGGGGCGAAGAAAAATTATATTAATTGCTAGAAAGAGTTTGTACAGAATTCATCATTTGTACAGACTTTAATATACAAAATATCAAAATATGCTTTGTGTATACTAATCTATTACCTATAGGTACTTTCAAATAAATGTTTACCTTCGTAGTGATCTTGCTCCATCTTCTCTCTCATTCTTTCCAATCTTCTCTTTTCTTTTTCTCTTTCTTCTTTTAACATCTCTTTTCTTACATTATTCGCACTAGCTATTTGTTCATCATATACCTTTCTTCTATCAAGCATCTCTTTGTGTCTTCTATCTGCTTCTAGTCTTTCCTTTTCTTCCTAAAAATTATAAAAAGAAATAAAAATACTGTGGTCTGATTGCGTAGCATAGCGAACTCGAGAACATTTTGTCTACACACAATGTCACTTTTGTCTGGTGCACGTAAACAACATCTCACCCTCGACCCGGGAAATAACGTTTGATATAGATAAAGCGTTTCTCCAGTATGTGTACGCGTGCCGGTGACAATTTTGTCGACTGGCATGAATTAGAATAAGACGATGGCCCAAATCACATTAATTATTTTCTTTTTTATGGCCTTTTTCCGTTTTACACAAAAATTCTGTCAACTTCCCGTAGTGAAAGAGACACAAATGGAATTGCTCGGTAATGGCTTTTATAAGAAACATTTTCTTCTTTGAGTACACTCTCATTTCCCTGATCTAAAAGGACAACATAAAGCAAACGTCACAAATTCCTCTAATCTCTTCTTCTTTTATTAATGGCTTATCTGCGCATTTCGTACAATTCTGCCAATGTCAAGTGAATAAATTACTTAATTTCCACATGTAAAATGAAAAGATAATTATTGCACTGATAAATTAAATAATAAAAAATTGGCGACAAATATATAATAGTGACATGTTAGTTATTCTTTTTCTTCTTAACTTAAGCCACTAATTAAAAAAGAAGAACTTTAATGGCATCATAATACTGCAACTTCACGTAGGAGAACATGTAGGTTATAATTTACTGTTATATTTTTTTAATATGTTCACAGAGATACAAAAAGGAGAGGTTTATCAGAAATAGAAAAGATAGTATTTAGATTAACGGAACGGGGGGTTTTAGGTGGAAGTTGGTATAAAGAAGGTTGTTTCAGACAGTTGAAATAGAAAACAAGTTCTTAGGTGACGTGGTCATATTTTGAAAAAGAAATTCATTAAGTGAATGTGTGATTTAGATTGTGGACACAGTCTTTCATGTTATTTTTCGTCAATTTTATTTTATTATTAATTAAATTTCATCCATTGTATTTCGCTTTACGCAATTTACCTATTCGTAAAATAACACAAGTTATTCTCCGAGCTTTTTACAATACCCTTATAACAGTTAATTCTTTTCATAAACAATGAAATTCATTAAATATTAAAATTATATAAAAATTAATCATAATTTTCGATCTTGTGCCCCATTTCATCTTAATGGTGTAGTACGTTAACAATGAGAACAATAGAAACAATTGTACGCCTTTTAATTATAATGTAAATGATGTATAACAATAGGCCTAGGATGTCCTCGTGACACGTTTCATAATAATTTTGATAAATTGAATGTTTCAAAAGACAAATATATAAAACTAGCAGTTATCCCGCGAGTTCGCCCACGTAAATTATAGCCTATGTCATCCGCGTATGACGTAGCTTTACGTAGGTGCTATTTTTTTTAAATCGATCCTGTAGTTTCGGAGCCATATTCAATGCAAACAAACAATTTTTATTCAAAACATTTATATATAAAATCAAAGAAAAAGTATTACTCTATGCTAATGTAAAAAATGCTTTGCTTGCAGAAAAAAAAAGATTTTTAGTGTACGCTGTCACCGCTTAGTATTTAAAATAAAACTAACTTCACTCAAAAATCATAGTTAATTATAACTTCGATTATAAAAACAAGTTTTTACCTTTCTTTTGACATCATTAAGTAATATCTGATGCCACATGTTTTCTATGTTTTGTTCTTGTTGTTCGATTTGTTGTTTTTCAATCATTTGTTGTCTTTGCATCTCCCTAAGACGTAACTCATCTTCTTTTGTACCGAATATACCTCTTGCTCTAGAAAAAACCTCCAATTTAAATAACTTCTTATGGAGTTATTATAATACATGTGTTATAGAAATGTCAATCCCATCATACCATAATTATTTATTAGAACTAAACTATTATGACAACATTTCATGAGAGTATGTTTACTAATGGTTATCTTAAATTTATAAGTAATTTAGATAATTTTTGTGCAATGAGAGACTTACGCTCCGCTATAAAATATTTTTGGTTAGTCCAATATCTAAAATATTTAATTTAAATTGTGACACATCTTATATCTTGAGATTAAAATGTACACTTACATTTTTTCTCTTTCCAATGCTCTTAAACATTGTTCCACCTTGTCTTTTTCCATCTCCTCGTAATAATTTTCTAGACGTTCTTTTTTCTCTTTGCAATACTCACATTCTTTCAATGCTTGTCTTATTTTGATTTCTTTTACATACATTTCTTCCTCAGTTTCTAAAAGAATCTTTAATTTCTCTTGTCTCTGTCATAGTTTTATTTCTTCTTCTTTAAATTTTGCTCTCACTTTCTCTTCTGTTCTATTTACGATTAATCTGCAAGAAGAGGTTTTTTAAAGTTCTACTAGATTAAAATATAGTCATATATAAGTCCAAAACTAAATAAGTACAATTAGTATATGTATGTCCTTACTTTTGCAAATGGGTATTATCATAATCAACTACATCTAGTATTTTTTTCATTTCTTCTATATTAATTATTGGTTCCATTTCTAATCGTTTTCTTTCCTGAAATTCGATAAGGAAGTTTTTGTTTGATTTCAAAACAAAATTATGTACCAAAAAGATCAGAGAAGAAGTACAATCAACAGAAAAATAAATATTTCAATATGAAAAAGATAAAGCATAAGATATTTGTTGTACAAATGTCAAGCCCAATTTGAAATTCAGAGTTTATTCGTCTAGACTTCGAGAACTTCAAGCTGCAAATACTTAACTAAATAGAAATAATGTATAAAAGTTATTTCATTTGGGACATTTTTAAAATAATACTACTTTAAACTAAAAGCTGTAGAATTTAAAGTCTACATTTGAGCATGAGAGAGTAAGAAGTTTCTTTGTGCACAAATTTAGAATGCAAACTGCATTTAAGTATTCCCAAGTCTATTTAATGTTGTGTTCTAAGTAGATATTTATTTCGTTACACTTCATAATTATTATTTATCTTGATGATACGGTTTCTTAACTGTATACCGGTACTTACTTTCTAATAACATCAGTTACTTACTCTCCAAAATTGCAACGGATGTCCGAAGTAAATTGGGTTGTGTTTGGATTTCGATTTCGTCAGTCCAACCATTTTGAGCACTAGTTTTGATCTTGGGAACTCTTATTAAATACGCCGCAAACTCTATGAATATATTAAGGGTTTCGAGTTCACATTGGGCTCTATCGATCCAACTTGTTGCTTAGGCTACGCAAACAAGATTATAGTGTAGGCTCTAATGTGTTGCCTTGTGGTATTCCTTTGTTTGTTTGCTCTGAGCGTTCTAAACATTATTTGGGGATATGATAAAAAAAACAGGCTTAATCATTAAGTAAACATCATATTAGATTTAAAGATTGAATAGGCTCTGGTAAAAGTAATGGATCGATTTTTATCCACGGGAAGCTATATCATAGGCGGGCGACATAGGCTATACTAAACGCGGCCGAAGTCACCGGAATCAGCTACTAATTCAATATTACCATAACAATTTGTAATCTGCAATCCTGAAAAAAGGTTAAAGGATAACACATTACATATTTCTTTTAGTATATCAAATAAATCAAGGGTAATATTAAGTATTTACGATGGAATATAGTTTATAATATTTTTCATCATAAAATGAAGTCTATACACTGAATTATTGTTTGATGTTTTTGTAGTTTGCAGTTGTAGGTTCTAAGTTTTGAGTTCTTTTCTTTTAACTGTGTAGATAAGAATGCGAATGAAGTATGTGATTATATTGGCTATTATGAGTACGTAGCACCCCACGTTAGTTCGATCACCCTTGTTAGACGGAGTGTACGGACGGATAGATTTACGAACCTGTTAGTGGTTAATCTAGTTAATAGCCAGGGTTGACCGTAGAGCTGAGCGCGTATTGATATCGATGATAAAGTGAAATATATTCCAGAAAAAATACTAACAGATTTCTAAATAAAATAATAAAAATTCTTCAAAAGTAACAATTCAATAAAATTTATTTGAGTCGTGCGAGGATTTTATGTCTATGCTTTTAAGCGCCTGACTGCAAATGAAGTATATTGAATTAAATAACTGTCTTTGTAGTTTTTAACTATTATTCGATATATTTGAAGTAGTAATAGTTTAAAAAAATAATAGAATTGTTAGTGACCATGACTTTGTCGAGATAATTTTAGACGATATACGTAGGTAATAGGGATACCGACTGGGTAAAAAAAAATCTGTTTAGTCCGTCGGTCAGATAATAGAAAAATATTAGATACGTGTTTTTTTCTACATCAATTTAACAAGAAGTAGCTTAGATAACAGCCATTAAAACTGAGGAGTGGGGGCTCGATACGTCACAGTTTTGTTGAAAATGTACCAATGCGTGACGTCACGCGACATTTTAACGTATCGCCGTAATTTATTGATTATGAAATTAATAAAAAATACGTGTTTAATATTTTTTAACAATCTACCTGTCGGACAAATAAACAAAAAGAAGTCGTCATCCGAGTCGAGTCGAACATCTCTTCCTTTTTGAAGTCTGTTAAAAATAGAACATGAATAATATTGAAAGTTATAATAATATAGTTAAATAACTACGCTACTTTATTTAATGCTGTAATAATGAATATTACAGCATTAAACTATATAACAATAATTAATCAACTATGACATTTTATAATATAAAAAAGTAGTAATATTAAAACTGTAGCATTTACTCATTGAAAAAACACGTATAGATATAATATAGTACCTAAAGAGCATCGCCGGTACCAAACGAATGCAGCAAATGCATTCTCTAAAAATGCTTATAAAATAGGCAAATATAATAGGTATGTATAATATATATAATATTTTTTATGCAGTTGTTACTCGCATTCAGAATAAAAATATAAAATTAACATTTTGTTTAGTTTTTATAATTATACGTGCTGTTTTCCCGCGACTTCCAGGTCCAGTAGTTTCGGAGCCTATTCGATGTAAACAAACAAACAAGTCTTTCCTCTTTATAATATTAATAATCTGTTTATTCCACGCCAGTCACTAGCCGCCCTTATGTGACGGTAATCGCGCCTACTTTGATTACGTTGATAGCTTTGATGCAATTTAATCAGCTGAATAATTTCAGTATGGTATGGTATATGTAAAATAGCTAAGAAATTTCTTATGAAGAGTTCAAGCATTTGCGGTGTCTATCATTCATTTATCGATAGTGGACAAAAAATTATAACAACATACAACGCGTATTAGCGCATCCCCTTCTGGGGATCGGCAGACAGGGCTGACAGCACACCTCCTTTGGTATTAACCATAGAGGTGGTTCACCATTTCGAGAAAATCGGTCAGATACCCTGGTTCTTTTCTCAGCCTGCAAGAGGGAGCCCCCACAAAGCCCCGAAGTGGGATTTTACCCAGTGCTTTCCTTGCTGGATCCTTCCTCCCAAGAACCACTCCGCAGCGGGTTTTACTAGTTAGGCCAGCTTCCCTTAAACCTGTCTTTTTCAGGACGGGGCATCGTTAGAGAGCTTTGTTTAAGGCTTAAGGTGCATTTCCCCTGCGTTATAAAAAATGGTTCCTGTAGGTGAAATAAATTTTAAAATTTGTTTGTTTATCTGTAATTTTCGTTGCAAACACCGTTCGTAAACATTTTTTGCTAATATATAAATATTTTCAATAAAAAATCCTAAAACAGTTTAGCAGTGCCAGGCACCTGAGATGGCACTTGTACCTTTCGCAAATTGGGCGACTGCTCTACCATTTGGGCTACACGAGACTCAATAGGACTGACGAATTTCTCAAGCTACTGTTACTTCACTACTAGTGAGATTATTTTTCGTAAATGCAAATTAGGAAATTCACCCTAACGGCTGTTTGGGTGGAGCAAGAAACAAGCGCATGACGCCCACTGTTGAGCCTAGGCCTCCCCCATAGATCTTATTTGTCTTGAGAAACTTTCGATTCAGACTGTGAAATTTTAATTTTTGCGTTATTGCTTTATTTCTATATTTACGAATTCGTCGCATTCCAAAAATAAGTTAAGTCTTTACTCATGATAATTTTATTTTCCGGATCATGAAAGGCTATTTTAGCCTCATTTTGGTACGCTATAATGACAGCCTTGTTGAACAAGAGAATTGAAAGCAAATTTATCAGATTACATTAATCTGTTTCCGTAATAACTGTAGATTTATTTTAAACGCCGTGTTAATTTTGAACTTTATAGTAGACGACTACGTATACAGCATAATTACTTAAAATATTTTCAATCAATACAAAGAAAAAAGTAATAAACCTATCATATCATCGTAAAGGCAATCTTAACACACCAAGAAACCCTCCCATCAAATCGCGGGACAATGTCCGCCATTAAAGCTGATGGCTGCATGCAGGACGCAATAATGTTAAGTAGCCATTGGTTATTACTGTTCCCATTACTATATACCCTACAGTTACACACTTATGTACGTGTCATGTATTTCCGAATTGAAATAATTTAGACGTACACAGTATGAATCTATAATATCATTAGCTTTTGCCCGCGACTTCGTCCGCGTTTCTAAAAACGCTAAAATAAATATTATTCATACCTGAAATAAAATTTCATGATTATATCGTTGACAATGACGAACTTCCATACAAACTTTAAATCCCTATTTCAACCTTTTTATCACAATAAAAAGCAACCTATGTTATATCTCAAGTTAACTATTTTTAGTGAGCTCGGTGTAGCAATTACTCACCTTACAGACACAGACACAGACTGCCTTATAATATTAGTATGAAATAATTAAACGATTCTCTTTGTCTCTCATTATATGATATAATAAGAGACTACCAGACACCAAAATAAATAGATTAAAAACAATATAAATCACAATTGCTTGGTCGACTTTTAAACTCACAGCTGTTTTTTTTTTTTAGTTTAAATTGAGGAAATATCCTGTGAACTAACGAAAACAACATTGAGGTTAATATATAATGTATGTGTAGTAGCCAACTGGGTAAAACATCCGTCCAATTAAATTATTTATTGGCTTTAAACTTAGAAAGCTAGTAAGTCTTTTACAATTCATATGAAATTCTAAGGTTTAAAGCATGCAAGTCAAATCATTATAGGAATGTCAAGGAGATTAAGTATTTTAAAAATATCAATTATATCAAGAAGTCAATTAAATTATATTATTACAACCTTAAAGTGTGAAAAACTTTTTGACCTCATTCGGGTAGAAATTTTCAAAAATCCGT